GGAGGAGTTGGGATCTACTTCTACGAAGGGTCCACTTAGATGCATCTTACCTTGATGGACAATTTGTCCTTGATAGCAGGTCTGGAGATCTATGGGGTTGAGAGCATCACACACACACACATATATCATGCAGTAGAAAATGTTGGGGGGCAGAAACAAAGGAAGTGTGATGAGGGACCCATAACTGGATGCTGAATTTAGTACACAACGTCTGTCCTGCATTTCATACTTGTGTGCGTGTGACGTTGATGCGTCATGCAGCAGAAAAAAAAAAAGGATCTGATGTATGTTTTATAAGTATGCAGGAATCCTCCGATGGTTACGGAAGGCAGAAGCGCACTACAGTTAAGACCTTACGCTGGAGAGTAATACTTGATGTAAACAAAACGGACGGAATGAGAAAAGAAGAACATGAGTGTTTTGTAGTTACATACATGCAAATTTGTGTTGTGGGGATGAGTGTTAAAGTGCAGAAATTTGTAAAGCAAAGGAAGGAGCAGACAACTTAACTGGAGGAGTGCAGCCATTGTATGAAGAACTAGGAAATCTCACCTGACGGCCTTTGGGCTGGATCGTCGATGGCAGGTCCTGGAAGGAACGACAAATTTATGATTTGTGATAGTCTGTGTACTGTCATTGTGTAAAAATATGTGACAAATAAAACATGAAAACACCATATTTAACGTGTTTAAAAAAATGTTTGTATTTATTTTACACTCTTTCTGTGAGCGTGAAACAAAGAAGCAGAAACTTACCAGGATGGAGCTGGTGACACTAGCGTGACCGTTTGCAGGCGACTGTCGAGACAAATCCGGTGACTCTTTCTGCAAGGGAAAATACAAAATCTGATCATTTATTGGCCCCAGAGAACATGAAACAATTGGTCAGAGCTTGTGCGTATTAACGATTCCCTACCTCACAAGACATTGACTGGGAGCGGTAACTGGGTACAATCTTGAAGGTGATGCTCCCTCTCATCTCCCTCTGTGGAGACCAGGGAAGGAAACACTCAGAACAGAAATACATGCTAATAATATAAAACATTGGTTAATTGTAGTGTCTATCAAGCTATGTGCAGATTTTCAGGGCCCGTCATTTTGGTCAAAATCAGGCAGCTCTAATGTCACGTTAAAGAAGCTGAAAGATTGCCTGCACAGTCCAAATGTAAAGAGGAGAGCCTGGACTTACCAGCATCTTCTGGAGCTGCTCTACTGTCTGATTAGCAACGCTGATGCCATTAATCTCTCGGATCTCATCTCCTACATGCAGAGTCCCTGAAGTGGAGAAATAATGAATTAATAAAGGCTCCAAATGAGGCTCTTGGGGGTTGAAACATCAGTGCTTCACAAAGCCAAGAAAAACCCCAGAGGCTAATGGGATGGCTCCAGGGGGGAGCCCAACTAATGTAAGGAAGAGTTCCACTTCATTGTTAGATTACCAGAAGCCACTCAGATATGAGAGTGTAACATAGAAATCAGTGCTCTCAGCCAACTGGCATCTCCCCACCCACTTTAATCATATGATAGAAAGCAATCTCTTCACACATGATATCGTAGGTGGATACAAACCTTGCCGATGAATCATTCCGCCATGCATGATGCGGGCCACAATACAGTGATTGAGGTCGTTCATTTTCAGAGTAATGCCCTAGAAGAGACAGAGGGTCAGAGAGGTAACTAATTACAGATTACTGCAGCAGAGACACACTGCTAGACACAGTAACAGTGCTGCACACTTAAATATAGTCTTTCTGGTGACTTGACAGGAAGCTCCATTTGTAATGCTGCTTCACAACATATAATTGCAATACTTTAACTGAGAAGTGGCTAAGGAGTCAATCTTGAGTATTTCAGTGATACTTTTAAGAAAGTAAAAAGTGAATTAATCAGATGAATAAGGGACCATCTAAATTCATTCATACTACAAGGACCTTTGACTGTTTCTGTCTACACACCATGGGCTCGTCAGTGTTCTTCTGAAACTGGACCAGGCGCACCCTGGTGACATTCTCCAGGTCCATGTCTCCGTTGGTGCTGTCTGGGGAGTCTCCGTTCAGGTATGGTGAAGTAGGTGGGGGGGTCACCCTCAATGCCTCGTCGCTGTAGACCTCGTGGGCCACCACATCATGGGTCTGCAGTAGAGCCTGAATGCACACAGTCAGTCATGAATGTTAAGACTTGTAAACACATGCAAAGTATTGCAAATGTGTTGCATGTTTCTGTAAATGAACCAGGTGGGTGTCAAAGCCATTAACGCAGCACACAGGGCAATGTAGGCAACAGCGCTGAAGCAGAAAATCTAATTTATTGTCTAAAATGGCTCAAGTTTCCTGTGTAAATAACTAGTAAATATGACCAAATTTGTTACAGGAAGAAGGTACGAGTGGATGCAAACACACGATCGCTGCGTGAATAACGGCGGCGTTGGAAAGAGTGTGGCTTACACTAATCCTCTTTGGGCACTAATCATGTCACTGACACACTGTGAGTTTTTACAAACATCTACTGGCAGAGCTTGCCAAACGATCACATCTGCTCATCAGAGCAACAATGTGTACACTGATGATGCATGACAGTCATGGAGCCTTGGAACAGCTGGCGCGAAAGGCTTCTGACTTACGGCAAACAGAGTGGCTGAGAAGAACAACTGCTAAAAAAAGATCTTTACAAGGCACCTAAAAATGCACCAACAATGGACTAAACAGTGTTTGACACTGAATCCACACAAAAGAACCACAAACTTCACAATTAAAAGCAACAAAACATGTCCTTCCATTACTGCGTCATGAGCAAAGATGGAAAGTAATGAAGTACAAATACTCCACTACTGTACTTAAGTCGATTTTTCAGGTACTTTATACTTTTACTCAGTTACATTTTCAACATAAATATTGAACATCTGCACATTCCTTACATTTCAAAAAACGGCTCATTACTTTATATATATAACCTAAGCCTATATATGTTTTATTTTTTGTGACACCAATGCGCGTGAACTGTTTTGGGCTTTGAAAGACGCAGGAGGAGACACGGCTGTCTGTGTGTGTGCGTGCGTGCGTGCGTGCGTGCAAGCGTGTGCGTCAGGGCAGGTCTGCCACTCCGCCCACACCTGTTGCACCACTAACATTCGAGCAGCTCCAATAAATGGACAGCGGTGGGGAGCTACAGTCACAGGAGCAGCCCGTCGACGAGCAGCACCCATGGCCTTCTTCAAAAGAGCTTTTTGAGTGTGTTGGTGCTAAAAACAACTCCTGGCGAATGCGTTGCATCTTGTGCAAACCAAAACTCCAGGAAGTATTGGCGTTCAAGAACAGTCCGTCAAACACAGCAGGTAAGTCATTAGCGCTAGCTACGTGTTAGCTAGTTAGCTAAGCTAACGTTTGAGCGCTCAAAGGTAAGTGATTGCACGAGCAGAAGGCGTAGCTATCGTTATCTGTGTGTGTTTCTCAGGTTCACTCCTGTCGAGATTGCGTTTCTCACGGAATATGCAAAGACCAGCTGCAAAAGCAGTTGATTTTCTTCATGTCGAGGCAAACGTGCAGTGGGGGTGGCTTGTACCCGCCATCACACTGCTCAAGTCCAACCTCCAGAACCTTCACACCACCTCCAACTACTGTGGGCCATTATCGGATGGCTGTGAGAGAATTTCTCTTTCTTCCTTTTTACTGAATCATAATTTTTCTGCAGCATGTGTGGATCTTGAACGTCGCTTTAGCTGATCCAGAGCTGACTGCTGCTGCCATTCTTGTCCCCAAATTCAGGACACGCTGGACTACTGATGAAGGCATCCTTGAATATGGTACGTGCTGCCTCACTTTCTTTTGAATTGTTATATTTTTTTAATATTGTGTTTAATATGCTTAACACCCTAAAACTCACTCCCCTCACAAGTGGACCGTAGCCGACTGTTAACCCTACAACCCTTCCCTACCTCCATACTCTTTTGTTTCCTCACCCTCCCTTGCTCTCAGTTCCTCCTTTCTCTGTCCATCCCCTTCTCTTGTATGCTAATTCTGTTTCTTCATTTGGTTTTGTATCCCCCATAGGCCTTGACTACATCAAAACCCACCTGAAGGAGCACAGTAGTGCAGCCCAGTCAGGTGACTCTAAGGAGGACTTCTTTTCGACAATCAAGCAGACAGATCAACGGGACGGTAACACCAAGCAACTAGAGTCCTACCTGGCCACTTCAACTGATACCATGGACATCCTGAAAACATTTCCATCTGCGGGCCACCTGTCAACACACCACTACCTGCCTCAGCTGCCTGCTGCTCACAGCAGGAATGATTTTTAGACCCAAGAGGCTAAAGCTGCTTTCTGGGAACTTGGAAAACCTGCTTCTCAGATGGAGAGGGGGGTCTAGAATGTGTTGTGTAGGTGTAAACACAGTGAGTTACTGTTCAGAGGAGCACAGGAACTGTGTCTTAAATGTGACGGGTTTTTCATTGAGCTTCACTGAATGCCCAGTGTGCAAATTTGTTTTGTCTTTTCATTTCTTATTAATTTAATTGGCAGGGACATAATGGCGAGAGAAGCTTAGTTTTTTTTTCATCTGTTGTCCCTGTGTGTGTCACTCAGAATAACACAACATCTGTACAGTGAGAAACAATTGTTGCCTGATGTGCTATTAAAAAAAAGTGCTATTAAAAATGTTGATTAAGAGTTGGGCCTATGAGCATGATTTGTGACATCATAGTTTAGAAGCTAATCCTGGTCTAAAACGCAATGTTCAGAAGTGTGATGTTTTAACCTTAAGTGTACAATACAAATGCCTAAAGGACTTTATAGTGAAGTGCATTAGGATACTAGGCAGGTAGTGTTAGCTACCTGCAAACAATAACACTGCTAAAGTAAATTCCATATAAATTATCCTGTTTAATAGCTTTGCAGCCAGTGAATCATGCAATAGAAATACTTTTTACTTAAAAGTACTTTTGAGTACATTTCAGATATTTGGATCAGTACTTTTTACTTAACTGGTATTTTTACATAGCCATTTTACTTCTATTCAAGCTAGGAATCTGGGTACTTTTGCCATCTCTGGTCATAAGTGAAGTCATAGAGTCACACAGGAAAAAGGTTAAAGTGAAACAAATGTGGTGTGAGACATGCTTTTTTCCTGCATGTGATACTGGGCTAAATCCCTTAACACCCATTCTGCTGGCGGCGCTGCTAAATGTGTGTGGCAGGATGACAACCCCAGCCCGTCAGGTCAGAGAGCAGGACAGGCTAATTGGATTGAACCCAACCTGAGGCGTGACAGCTTCACTAAGTGTCACAGACTGAATCAGCGGAGGGAAACACCTCCACTTCTTGTGTGTCTAACTGAGCTAAATAATGCCAGCATCACCGTACCTTTAACTGCTGTGCACAGGAACTGACAATGAGCCAAAACACAGCCACAAACAGAGTAAACAAGCCTCGTCTCGCTGAACTTAATATTTGCTGTTACACCGTTGCATCCTCAAACAAGCTACACTCGTATACCTTTGCATTAAAGACACCACTGATTTCTTCTGTCTCAATTTCCACTTGCCAAGTCTGTCAACAGCATCCTCCCCACGTGTTCGTTGCAGGTCTTCTGATGAGCATGGCCGTACCGACGCACAAGTGAATGTATCCGCACAGGATGCCGCCTGAAGCCGTTCGGCATGTATTCTCTTTAGCTCTTCCCGCTCCTCTAATGCTTCAGCATGTGTCTATCCCTGCCCGAGGGCTCGCCAAGCTCAGGTGCTAAGCAGCTTTGTGGCTAAAGGAGTTATGTGGATTGTCAAAAGAACCCTACTTCTGACTGAGTGGGTTGTAATCACACACACCAATAAGCATGCTCCACATAAACAAGACCAGCCTCAAATTAAGAGTGCGTGTGCTGCTGTGTGTTACTGGAATATCTCACCATGAAGTGTGGCTGTGTGAGGATCCTCCGGAGCTCCTTGGCCTCCATGTTCTCTGGGTAACAGGAGATGGTTTCCAGCACCTGGTGAGGAAAAAGGAAAGAGTTGTGAGTCTCAGGAAAGGGTAAACGGGTCACTTCAATGTTCTTCAGACTTATTTAACAGGCACCACGTGATGCATAATACATAATAATGTACTGATAAAATAAATAACAACCTAGATTACTAGATTTACCATGTGTGGTGATAACCTAACTACCACTTTGCCAACAGTAGAACAGCAATCCAGGGGCTATTGCTACAGCTGTGGAGGAGTTCAGGAGGGCCACTACATAACAAATGATTTAACTGCTTATAAAGTTCGACTGTGTGCGTGACAGCTCATCCGTCTGTAGCGCAGTAAAGTACACGGTGTGACTTGTTGTTGGATCCTGATCGATCCTGTCTCCTTGTTCGGGATAATTTATGATTATAAATTATTAATGAAGTTGCTGCTGTTGTTCGACGTGTGTGAATGCGCACGACTCTCGCTCGTTTTGGATCGTGTTGCAGGTATTTAATAAAGAGACTGGCAGCTTCTGCTCCTGTTAAAATTTTGTCAAAACCTGCAGGATATTCATTGTTGGTGAGTCTCAATAATCTGACCTGGAACAGACTGTCTTCAGAGTAGCTTTATTTTTATACGCTTCCCGTTGGTAATAAGTGTGAAATTGTAGAGCAAAGTGAAGGTGTTTTTTGTCATTTTGGCAGCAAACGTTCTTCCTCACATAACTTGAAGTCCATGATTCGTTAATGTGGTGGCATGCAGTCATACATATGTGTTGAGAGTAAAATATGACCCAGTAAAAGAGCGTCTTTTTACAGGGTGGTCCTTCAGACATGTTAGGTTGCCTTCAGAACAATAAAAAAAGAAGTTCGTGTCTGAAAGGGGTTTGACTGCTAAACATGTCTGAGTATAGCATCTCAATTTGGCCGTAGATCATTGGACATCAGCTGAGTCGTCTAAAAGCTCCACTTAGGAGACTGTGGGAACGTGTCTCGTTAGTTTAAATTATCTCTTCATTTAGTTTCAGAACTCCGCAGCGATTTCCTGGCTGGCCTATAATCGGTCGATCGCTATTAAGTATGATTAAACATTCAGGCCCTTAAAATCTATTGAACATGAACAAAATGAGCTGCAGCCTGCAAATAAATGTTAAGTAGTGTTTAAATGTGCCGCGATAATCGCCCGTCTTACTGTTCAATCATCAGTTAATCACCAGCATCCTTATTAAACATTAGAGCTTTTCTTTTGGCATATTTTGTAGATCACTTTTAACTGAAAACTGACTATGACAGGAAATCCCACAGGACACCGAAGCTTCTTATCCGTATTACCTTTGTTTTTGTTGATCTCACGAGCTAATAATCAGTATGTCTTCTTAAGCTTCCCCTAATTGGAGTAATGAAGATTTCCTCACCTCTTTGGCTCTCTGCACTCCATCACTAGGAGGATTTCTGATCTGCGGGGACGACCTGGTGTTGATTTTGTCGTAAAGCTGAAACAACAGCGAACATCTAATTAGGCCCAGACGGTAAAGCAAATATGTAAAAGCCAAACAATAAAAATGCAAAGCACACGAAGCAGATGCTGTGGTTGATTCTTGACATGTCATGACACCTACTGGACACGTTCGGTATTACGGAAGAAGAGCTGCCGTGGTTGTGCTTTACTTACATCTAACAAGGTGTGGAGATGCTGATCCTGGAAGACGCTGTGCAGGAAATCCATGTCTTTCTCACTGCAGTCTGTCAACGCGTGAATCTCCTCTAGACTGTCCAAAACCTGTGACACTGCCCCTGTGCACACACGCACGTATAAGTTACACACTCAGATATGGACGCAAAAACACACAGAAACATTCACAAGCACACCAAGCAGTCCCTGCAAACACACACAAAATGCAAACACCGAACGTGACACACACACACACACACACACTTATCCATAGACACGCTACACATCCACAAACAGGCAAAAAAACAGGAAGTGCCAAAAATAAAAAACACACACAGAAACAAACAAACAAACAGAAAAATCACAAACGATAGAAGTCACGACAAACAAACACATAAAAACAGACACAAACACTCAGAACTATTGAACCCCAAGTACCTGCTGCATCGCCCACACATGCAGCAAAACCAGAGAAACAGCGGTACATGGCATCAATACAACATCAGAAGAAAGTCACTTTAGAAAGTCACAGTGTGGATGATGGATTAGGAGCAGCACACCCAAGAAAAAAAACGCAAAAAATGTGCAGTGGAGTAAGTAAAGGAAGAATCTAATGCATGAAGTTACTGTGTTTTGTGTGGGGTTCATACAAATTAAACATTTAATGTGTGTCAGGTTTTAAGTCGATGGAAAATATTTGTGGCCGAGAAACGAAACAAAGCTCCATAGTGATGAACACATGAGAACAAGTGATGCGGTGAGAAGTTAAAGAACAGTGCTATGTGGTTTTCTTTCTGAAACTTTAAAGAAGTGATGTAAACATCTGACTAAGTAACCACAGAATGTTTGAAGGTGAAATGATAAGGCATGACTATGGCCGGAGTTTCCCAAGGCCTCACACTGTGATGTGACATTCTATGGGTTACAAACCATTTCAGGGTAAATTAACAGAACTACTTATCCCTTTAAACTGTTCAATCCTAAACTGACTCCAATTTATTCACATGCTTGCTTTAGAGGAGACTGACAGAAACCCTGGGACAACACATGAAAGATAACAACCCCAGTTACGTGTAACTGACTGTGGGCTTTGAGAAAAGAACAAATGCAACTCATATCCCCTTTACTGTGAGGAATGAAAGATACAGCAGAGAAGGAAACATGCTTTTTAAGCTGTTAATGACTTCAAGTAAACATTACATGGGTCTGTTTATATGCATCGTACTGCTCCAATAAGAAATAACAATTCAGCTTAAGGAAACTGATTGACATTAAGCCTTGTGCAGATCAATAATTACAAAATTCAGATGCTAAGCAAACATTTTGAACAAATTAAACATAAAATCTACTCATCGTCATATTACAGGTCCACTAATATGTTTTTTTTACTGAACATTAGTCATCAACTCAATAGATATTGATCGGGGTTATGTGTAATTTTAAGAGAACTTTCAAACATTTATTTTTCAGATTTAATCAGCTATTACTCGTAATGTAAACGCAATCAGATAGCGCTGTGTGCGTTGGCTCAAAACCAGTAATGATGACGACAGACAGAGAAACACGGCCGCATTAGAGCTAAATAGCACATTTTATGGGGAATTGTTTTTTTTAAGCTAAACTTTAGATCAATCAGTCAAACCAGGCCTGTAATTCAAAATCTAAATCTTCTTAAATCTAACTAAAGCTACTGAATATGAACAACATGCTATAGTAGGACGTTTTTTGAACAACGTGCCTTCAAATAAATGCTAATTAGTAGTTAAATGTGCCGCAATAATCACCCGTCTTACTATTCAACCATCAATTATTTACTGAGATCCTTTATGAATGTTAGAGCTTTTCTTTTCTTTAATACACACAGTATTTTAAAAATCACATTTCACTCTAACTGAAACCTGACTATGACGCTGTTAGTCAGGTCACTGAAGCACTTAAGCATCTTATCCTTAATACCTTTATTTTTGTTCATCTCACTGGGTAATAATCAGTATTTAATCTGGTTTCTGAAGATTCCTCTAATCAGAGTGATGGAGATGCATGTAAACAGAATATGTCATCGTTACAGGTTAAGGAGGAAGCATTTGGAGTAAAAGCACACACATCAAACAGGTTTTCTTAGGAGGAAGACAGCAGAGAAGACAGAAAGGAGACAGAGGGATGGAGGATTATTACCCACATCATTCAACACGAAAGGAAAAAAACAAAAATGCAGCTACAAAGCAAGTGATGTCATGATGGTATCACACATCTGTGGGTGGGGAGGGGGATACGTACTTTCAGCAGCTAGCAGTCCTACAGACAGCAGAGCAGAAGAAAGAAAAACACCACCAAAGAAAGAGAGGCTGCGATTAGAGGAGGTTTACAGCAACTGTGGATGTAGAGTTTAACACCTCAAAGTAGAAGAAGAAAAGGAGAGAACAAAGATACAGAGAGCTGGCAGAGTGAGGAAGCATGGGGGTAGGTAGAGAGGAGAAGGAGGCAGAAGGGAAATAAGGACAGAGCAGCAACAAAGAGAGGAAAAAAGTCAGCAAAAGCAGCCAAATCTATGAATAATCTGCCAAGCTGCTGCAGGGATCTACTGCACTATAGTCAAGTCAATGACCGGCACCACGTCTGGAGTCCTGCAACTGTAAAAATAAACCAGTCACCAGGAAGCATGACTGCAGCAGACTGCCAGCCTCAGCAGAACGCACACACAAGGATATCTGGCCGCATGTGAAACTATGCAGAAAGTGAGAAAAGCTCTGCTCATTAAAGTGACACCACCTATTGGGCTGCTGCTCAATTTTTTTTATTTATTTATTTTTTCATGTTTAGGACGCCAGTGACTTCTATACGCTGATGAGTATCGACAGGTACGGCCTGCAGCCTTCCTATCAAAGGAAGTGAAAGTCCTAAGCTGAGACAGGGAAGTGAGGCTGTTGGGCAACATCTGTCTTCATTTAAACAGAGGAACTTCTCCACAGACAGCTGGCTGTCACATTAAGACACTAGAATAGAAACAATGAGAGTTGAAACTGAGCTAGAGTGGCTTGGTGCAGATACGTGTTGGTGCGATTTATCTCCGACCTCACATGACACTGTGGGTGTTTTAGATATATTAAGTAGATATCAAGTTGTACTGTTTTAAATAAATCTTACATAACAACAGCACTAACGTAAATTTAGGTTATGTCACGTATGAATTGGTTGCTTATCCAATAATGCACAACAAGCTGCCTCTCTTTCATAAACACAACAGCAAAGATCCTCTGTGTGATTTACCTGAGGAAGTGGGGTCATCTGAGAAGTCATGGAGCTCCTCTGGAGGGTCGCCATAGTAGGAATTAAACTTGTGGCTGGAAACAGCAGCCAGCACTGCACCCTGGGATACAGAGCAACAGAGGTATGACGACCCACATAGTGAGATGCATTGACACAGTTTTATGTTTTAGGATATGTAACCTGAAGATGACAGGCCTGTTCAGAGTCATAAAAAACATCTGCCAGGAAACTAATCTGGGTCATTAGCAACTGCTCCACACTGAGCAAAAAGGTGACACTTCCTCTCATCTCCTGTTTAAATTGTGGTGCATCTGTCATGTTCAACCCTGTGCTGACCTTCAGCTTCCTCCTGGCGTTGAACTTCCTCAGCTGTTCCACCGTTTCAGGCAGGTGGATCTTGTAGGCATACCTGTCCCTCTCCTACAGTTGTTGATATACACAAAGGTGGGGACATAAGCAAACACAACATTAAACAACCGAGCAGTAGGTTGAACGGATGTGAAAGTAGAGCTGCGGTTAGAAGCAGAAGGAAGTGTGATTGAGTAAGCTGGGTCAGCGACTGAAGGTGACACAACCTATTGAATTTAACATCAAATATCCACATGGCGTCTGTTTCTTGGTTTTCAAATATTACACAAAAGTTCAAGGATAATGACCTTGTAAAGTTAGCAACATTTGGTCAGTACAGTTAAATCCTAGTAGTGGCCTGTGTGTGTGTGTGAAGGAGATCTTGCCTTCAGCCAGGGGTGGTTCAGAGCCTCGTAGACGGTGATTCTCTCAGCAGGGTCCAGCATCAGCATGCGTCTCACCAGGTCCTTGGCGCTCTCCGAGATGTGGGCCCACTGGCGGGGGTTCATCTGGACAGGTGCACGAACGCAAGAGCACAAACAGGTACTTAGCTGTAAGCAACCTACACAAGCGCAGCCGTTGGTGTTTGTGCTCCGTAAATAGAGCGACATCATTAATTCGCCGTCTGCGACGTTAATCTAAAACCGAGCCGCGGTATCGTCTAACGTCGGTAGAGCTTGTCGTTTTGAATTTGGACTTTTTTTAAAAAAATAATATCTGTGAATTTAGCAGCAGCTGTTCAGCAGCAGCTTGATGGACGACACCATGGTATCGTCCATCATGCTGCCTGCTGTGACTGCATCTGCCACAGATTAGTGCACAAAGCAGGAAATTCATACTCAGTTGAAAACAGATAATCTCACAGACCTTTATCTTTTTTTTTTCTTTTTTGCTTACATTGTCAGTTTATTCACCACCTCTCACTGACTGGCTGTCAAAAGGGGACAAAGGCAACAGAAGAAAAAAGGTCTGGACATTTTACTTGTGGCCATAAAAATTAAATACTGATCTCAAAGACATGCTAAGATTTGACTTGTATCATTCAGTCTCATGCTGTCTTTACAAGAAATTTAAAAGAATGTGAAGATATTAACAGTTGACAGCGCGCTCCTGTTTGTTCTGAAAGGATGCAGCACAAACACTGTGAGCTCGGTTGTCTTGAACAAAGCAGCTCAACCTTGGAGCTGACAGTCGTTGCAGCACAGTGACAGAGAGGAGTTCAGTATTGTGCTTAGCTTCAGCTAAAGGCCAAAGCTCTGGTGCATTTGACGGAAAGCGAGGGCGTTTTGTAAGTCAACAACTACCTTGTATTTCCCCTTAATGATGGCCTCAAACAAGCGCTCCTTGGTGCCGTAGAATGGCAGGCAGCCAGACAGGAGGATGAAGAGGATGACGCCGCATCCCCACACGTCCACCGGTTTGCCGTACGGCTCCCTCTTGACCACCTCTGGGGCCATGAAGTGAGGAGTCCCGACTCGACCTGAGGGACAGTTTCAGGAGTGATTAACAGGAGTTGTAAGAGCAAATGGCAAGTGAAGATGCTGGAGAGTGAACTAGTGCAACAAGGGAATGCATAGTGCGTGCATATGCAAAGGGCTGTAACTACTACATATGCAATTTAATCTTTCTTTTTTTTTTTTGTATATATATTGTTAATTGTTTAGGCCATAAAATACCAAAAATTGAAAAAAAGAAAAGTTCAAATTGCTTGATCAACAGTTCAAACCCAAAGGATATTCGATGACTACAACTAATAAATGACTTAATCAATGTTTCTTGGTTAACACACTGTTGCTGTTTGTGTGCAGTTAACTGAGTAATACCTTCTGCTAAAACCGAATACTGTCTAATATACAAGCACGCCAGCTTGTCCTTTTTAGGCCTGCAAATGCCTGGAGTGCATCCCACCATCCAATGGGAGAGGAGCAGGGTACACCCTAGATACTACAGACAGTTTACACTTTCTGATTCATCTAATCGGCGTGTCTTCGGGCTGTGGGACTGAACTGGAGCTGCTGGAGGAAACCCACACAAACACATTCACATCTAAAATATTGCTCATGTTGTTGCCACAGTCATTTCACTCCACTTCGTCTGAATCACAGCCAATAAATAAATTGTACTAACAAGGGAGTTTAAATAAGCAGGCTAATTTTAAGACAATGATTATTCAATTATCATTATTGCTAATGTGTGTTGTTTGATTGTATGAGTGCAAAATTTTTTTTTTTTCAATTTGTTGAGGCACAGAAGGGGGAAAAAAAGGCCACACTGTCACTGTACCTCCAGCTACTAAGCCAGACTCTCCCAGCTGTATCGCCACTCCAAAGCCTCCCAGCTTCACCGGAGCAGAGTTTTCCTTCGAGGCCAACAGCACACAATGAGGCTGCAGAGGAATAAAAGACACGTGTCAAACGGTGCATGAAGACCAAGTCGAACCAGTAGATTTACAGTGAGATTAGAGGCCATCCCAGCATGCTTTTAAATCACATTCACTGATTAGACTGAAACAGGCCCTGCACAACCTAACAGCTGTGATACTTTACACTGACACAAGGAAGAAAACAGTCTTTTTGCAGTCTGCAGAGGCTGTGCAGAGCATGGCTTTGGCTTTTCTGTGCAAAAGTGCAAGATCCCTTATGTTCAATTGCTGGTAACTGAACTTCGGTTTCGCAATGAGAAGACAACTCGAGCATATGCGACCACATTTGTATTATGATGCCAATACAGACAGGAAACAGCTATCACCCCAGGATTTAGTCAGCGCCTGCAGGATAATGAGCTTGTTTTGAGATGCGTGATGTTTTCAAAGGTCAAAGTGTTGCTCTCGTACGGGGTTGACTTCCACCAATGAGGATTAATGTCAAATTAACAGATATTTGACATTAACTTGTGGTGCAATTTACTTCACAAAGGAGAATTATTTTTGATCTGCAAATGGCAACGATATGCATTAGCGTTGGTGATGTGAAACTGCTTAGTTGATAAATCAAGCTAATTAGAAAGTGGGCAGGTTCCAGAGAAAGAAGGCAAGAAGCTTGACGCAGCAAATCTAACAACAAGCTAAAGAATCCATTATACATCCTAAACTATAAGGTAATGCATGTCTCTGTCATTCTTTCTGCTTTTGCACTTAAGAGTTTAATTGTAAAAACAGTGATGCCAACATCTATTTATATAAGATTAATATTGCAGAGCAGAGGCTGGTGATAAAATATTTGCCGTCTTCCACGGCTGCGGCTGCTAAATTACAACAGGTGGTTCATAAAGCAAAAGGATATTCAGCCAAGCGCGTTCAACAGCAGGCTTGTAAAACTGCTCAGACAATATTAGTACAACAGTTTATTTAATATCTAATTCGTTGGACAAATACTTAAATGACTCGCCAAGACAGATCATGAGCAAACTAGTCAGCTGACGACACTACAACCTATTCGCCGAGCTAGCAGGGTTTTGAGTGGATGGTATTAAAATGGCATCTATTAAGTTACCACAAACCTCTTCCAGGGTCGTATAGAATGCAAACTCACTCACATTAAAGTGACTTATAAGTGCACAACCTCAAACAAAATGTCATGCCTACACACATGTTGGGGGTTTTAAGATGATAATCATATTTACAGAAAAGCACGCAAATTCTGTGTGCGCTCCGGTTTAGATTAGCATCACTGATCTGTGTGTGCAGCCTCACCTCAATGTACTGTTCTTGTTAATTCTAGGAATTTGTATTTTCAGTGACAATTCAAGGCAGCACTGAGAAGAAATGCAATGAGTGTGAGGGTGGCTGTGGTGGTGGTGGTGGGAGTGGGAGTGGGCTTGCTTCCTGCCTTCACACTTGTGCACTTCTCGTAATGGGAGAATTGAGGGGCGTGGAGGATGTTGACTGAGGTGGTGCAAAATTCAAGAGACAAGAGAGAGAGAGAACGAGGAAACAAGAGGCTGAGACGAGAGGACTGGCAGACGAAACTGTCATATCTGTGAGAGGGAGAGAAGAGTGGAGAGGCTAAGAAAAAGCTTCTCTGTGAAGAAATTAAAGCGAGGACAAGGACTGATACAGAGGAGGACTGAAGGCAAGCTGAGAACAGAAAGCTGAGAAGAGGACTGGGAGGAGCAGACGTGGTGAAAAAGATGTGAAAAAAGACGAGTCTGCAGGAGTTATGACTCATTCCCAGACTTCATAGAAAGGTGAAGATAGCAAAAGAAATGAGCTCAGGACAAGGACGGCAGTTTTATTAGAATTCACCACAACTAAAAATCATTTTTCTTTAACAGGTCATTTTTTAAAGAAACAGCTTCCTGCTTAAGAAGTTTGATGGGGGAAAACGCTCTGGACTACTGTGCGCTCACACCTCTCTGTACATTCCAACATATTTAAACTGCAGCTGTGCTGAATCTCCTATGGAAGGAGTGTCGATGGTGAGTGTTGAGCCTTAATCCAAACATCTGTGTGCAGCAGTCAGCGAGCGGCTGTGTGTGAGCGGCCGTGTACGAGCGTTTACATGCTTGTGCATCCAAACTCACATGCCCTGGCCTCCACTGTGGTACTGTGAAATTAGAACTTATGTGTAAAACAGGCATGAAACTTTCAATTAGCCACGCTGCCGGTTCCCACCCGTAAAAATCTAAATCAAAGTTGAGTTGCGTAAAATGTGTTTAATTTACAGAACAGTCAATACCCTGCTTCTGGGGCCCATACTTTGTTAGGTGCTGTACCTTTTCCATGAAGCTGTCTCAATTTCAATACTTTCCACTTTGCAGTCAAAAAATTAGTCAGTCTGACATGTGTGAACCTAACATATTACTCACCTGTCTGCATTACTCGTAAAATACACAGCCGCAGTTTTCCAGTCAGAGCACCCGGTTTTGTTTGACTTTATTTTAGCTGTTTTAGATCTATTTGTTCTTGTATTTGTTCAGTGACACTTGTTTTTTGTTGCTTCTTTCTCAGGTTAACACCCCCTCATACACAATGACCACGTCCTACTCTGCCTCCTCTTTCACACCAACTCTTTCAGCTTCAGCATTGTCTAACTCCTCGTTGTCCAGCTCTGCTTCATCCCTCTCTGTCTCAATGTCATCCCTCTTGTCGGCCAACTCTTCTCCTCCCTCCTCGACAGACCAGAATGTGTGTTCATTTGATGACTCGGCTCTCCGTGTGCCGCTGGCAATCTTCTACTCCCTCTTTTTCATCTTTGGGCTTGTGGGTAACCTCTTTGCACTGTGGGTCTTCCTCTTCCTACATTCAAGCCGCAACTCAGTGAGGGTGTTCCTCATCAACTGTGCTGTGGCTGATCTGGTCCTGCTGGCATGTCTGCCCTTCAGGGTGTTCTTCCATGTTAACGGAAACAAGTGGGTCCTGGGATCTGTGGCCTGCAAGTTGGTGGGGAATTTATTTTACATGAACATGTACATCAGTATCACATTACTGGGCTTCATCAGCCTGGACAGATACTTGAGGCTGAGGGGGAAAGGCAGAGCACGGAGAGGCATGAGGATGAGGCTGTGGGGGCGCAGCCAGCCATGCAGCTGGGTGGCGTGCGGCGCTTTGTGGGGTCTGTCACTGATGGCGCTGGTGCCGATGATCGCCACAGCAGAGGACAAAGAGCAGAGTGACACATGCTTCCAGTTCAAGCAGCGACTCGCAGCCAAAGGGAAAGCCTACTTCAACGGCGTCCTGGTGCTGTTGTTCTGGCTTGTCTTCATCATGCTGGTCGTCTCCTACTACAAGATCGCCTCCCAGTTGCTGCGGGTGTCCAAGGACAAGCCGGACCTCCCCAACGCACAGAGATATGAACGAACCGCCAAGAAGTCCTTCTTTGTCCTCTTTCTTTTCACCGTCTGTTTCGGGCCCTACCACGCCTTCCGCCCCTTCTACATCTACGCCCAACTCAGCAACACAGTATCGTGTGACTACCTGCACATGGTGGACCGCACCAACGAGGTGATGCTGTTATTCTCCGCCTTTAACAGCTGTTTGGATCCCATCATGTACTTGCTGTTATCTGGCTCTGTGCGGAAAACCGCCCTGCGAGCGCTTGGACACCGATTAGGCGCCCGGTTTCACTTCCTCAATGACGCGACATCCAACAGCTCTACGACGGAGTTCAGACGACCATCCATGCCGAGGATTGGACCTGACCCGCACATCAACACCCCTTCTCTCACCCCCAGAACCAGCATCTGTGTCATCAGCTCCAACATTCACCGCACAGGACTGACTAGGCTTCCACCTACTGGACAACAGTGATCACAAATCGTGTCTGACTGTCAAGCAAGCATGAACACTGGAAAACTAAATACCTGACATTTAAAGTGGACTGGTTGACTGATTGTCTGTCAAGCTGAGCAAAGTATTTCTACATATTCAAATATCTTGTATTAAAAATCAAACCCATATGTTTTTTAACCACTGAGTTATTCTTGCTGCGTTACCTTCTGAAAGTCTGAACTTTGTGGCAATCATTGTTTAAACTTAAGTTTAAAGATAGTACAGTAATGTCTTATAGATGTACTTGGGCAACTACTGTGACAGCATCTAAAAATACCTTTTACTGCTTTAAGGTAAAAGTAAATGTGCATTTTTCTCCTGACGAACTGAGCGTATCTCAACAGTTCTATTGGAATATAAATCTATGATCATGCTGTTATTATGGAGGGGATAAAAAAGACACAAAAACTGACCTAAATACAGAACAAAACGAGTGTTTTCTTCTTCGCACTCAGACAGATGCACAAAGGACCTCAATCTTGCAACATGAAGTCAATCACTGTGCATCTATCAAGTTAACTAAACACACTTGATTCTTTCTTCATTATCAAAACAACCCATCCGTCACTCCAAGAGACTTGACGACTACTTTTAACCCACCACTACGCACAGCTTTTAGTGTTCTGCTACGAACCAAGCAGTGCTGATGGCCTCCATCTGCTCTGCTGGTGTCTGTCACCTGCGTTGGGTGGCTAATCCTGTTGCACTCGCTGGTTCATGTTAATCTGGCAATAAGACCTCCTAACAAATCAAGGGTGCCTGACAGACGTGATTCGCGACTCTTGCTGAGGCATTACTTTGCAAACGTGGGACCCTTTGAAGCAGCTAGACTGAAAACATGTTTTTTTTTCTCAAACCCATATCATAACTATAACGTAGCATGAAGAGCGGATGTCGATAAGAGAGCTCTCTGGTAAACACAGTAAAGCTTTCGACCTCCACGCAGACAGAGTAGATTACCATCTTCTCAGAGTGCAAGGCAGCAACATGAGAATCTGTGGTAAAGGCATATTTATTACCCTTGTTATGAAAAGGTCTAAACCTCTCTGGTGTTAGCTACCACGTGGTTTCAGTGACTGAGGTCTAGACATAAGAGAGAGAGAGAGTGAGAGAGATCTCACCTTTACATCGCGATGAATCACATTGTTATCGTGGCAGTACCGAAGTGCCTCCAGAATCTGCCTCATGTAGTGACTGGGTGGACAGAAAGCAGAGACAGACGATCATTTAGAACGTCCACAGATGGTCTATTTCAGGCTTTAATAATGTTTAACCCACAGCTCTCAGACTGTTACTTCCTACCTGGCCACTGCTTCGCTGTAGACAAACCCGGCATCGGCTCTCTTCACGATTTCAAAACACAGGTCTGCTCCATCCATACTAAGAGAAAGAAGAAGACATCAGGGTGGGTTGCGAGTTAAAATTAGGTGTTGAGTAATTATAGATAGCAGTTTACACAAGAACAGATGAACTGGCAACTTGCTGAGAAAACAGAGAGCATAAAACTACATCCATCAGGGAGCAGTTTTATGACCTGCTGTCACTTGCATAAACACAGAGGCACTGTATTTTCATTATAGCACTTTTCAGCCTCTACAGTCCTAAGGGAGGCTTTCACGGGGATATGGGATACAGATTTACAACATAAAATCCACACAGAGGAAACAAATTAACCAGGCAATTTGATTCAGAAAATTATATTTACAACAAAAGGGCCGGGGGTGAGCAGAGAGCTGTTCTTTACAGCATTACAACTTGCTCTTTTTATCACGAGAATAAGGTCTTCAGTTTGATTTTGTTGCAAGTCATAAAAAAGCCTGCCCCTTTGGGATTTGCCAATTGTTGATTTTTTTAAAATTCAAGACTACAAATTTAAATTAAGACAAAATTTCAATCAATATAGTAAGAAAAGGCAAAATGTGAGATTCTCTTCAATTTTTTCTCAACCTCAAACATATTCAAACATACTATGAATACTTGCAAGACAATACATTGCCCCTGCCCTGATAAATCCTCATATATGCACTTAATACACATATTTGGCTTCGTCAAGGGCACTAATAAGTTTGCAACCATCAAAATGAGGGGGTGTGTAGAGTTGGCGACAGGGTGTGAAATTACCAGCACCAGCCATCTGCCAACGACTGATAAAATTAGTCTGTAGCTGTTAGTCTACTTTCCACTAGCTTGCGCAGGTAACCACAAAGCAGCTATAAATTGCTTGCCCCTTTTTAAGAACACTATTTTCCGTGTAGAGCTGATCAGCAGCTGTGACCGTGGTTTACAAAAAAAAGAAAAAAAAAAGAAAAGGTGTTTTCTGCTGCAGTTACGGCCATGCATGGAAGATGTTTTAAAAATCACAAAGTGTGCATTACAGACTTACAATTCAAAGACCATGTAGAGCATGCCATCGGAGCTGTAGGTCTCCAGCAGCTCCACGATGTGGGGGTGTTTCAGCATGTGGCAGATACTGGCCTCGCGCTTCAGATCTGGCAGACAGAAATTAGACACAGTATGGTGAGACACTTTTCACATTCAACAATTAGCATTTCACTTCAGTGTAATTATAGGTTGTGAGGGAAGGTGTTAATTCTCAAATGTATGACAAGATGCGGCCATGATATTGCGACTGTAATGCTGATTTTGAAAGCACATATGGGCCTATCCCGGTGGGGGGAAGAAAAAAAAAATCAGGTGCTGGCAGGCTGAAGAAACAATCTCAGAAGAGAGGAAATGTATTTATCTGGTGTATACATTTAGCTTTCATTCATCCAAGGAGGTGGGAGGTTTCTCACTTTATTAAAATTGAAATTCTGCAGATATGACTTTATGTTTTACCACAGAGTTATGAAAACATGAGGTGGGAAAAAAAAATCCTGAAGCCCAAAAAGCTGCCGTGCAATTTTTCATAGTGTCCGACGCCCACCGACTGAATATCTCTACCCATGACAAGTGCAGCATGAGCACAATTTTGCTTTGTGAGGCTTCAGCATCCACCTTGTTTTTCGGTGCTGAAAACAAAATCCTACCTTTATTCTAATTTATATCTTCATTGAATGGAAGTACACCAAATAAACAGAGTAAACCAAATGTGCCGAGATGGTCATGTGAGGTCAGCTGGTGCTCTGTTAAATCCTCCCATGTCCCTCGGTGGCGGGTTAAGCAGATGAAGAGAGGCCAAGCACGCCACCCTCCTCCTTTCACACCTCAACAGACCTGCCACGTCTCCACTTGGCCACCAGGGGGAGGTGCAGAGCATTTACAGAGAGGGACCCCCCTTCATGAGAGACACTCAGGGAGAGTTTTCACATGTTGGGCTGACAGATAAACAAGCTAACAATCTGCTCTCTAGCAGAAAAAAACTATTTACAGCAGATGTAGTACCACTGGAATACCATTTTAATTGCACATTTAAATACACATCTGGCTCACTCTCATCAACACCATCCCCTCTCATTATCACTACATCCAGATCACACTGCAGATACAATTACAACATGCCTCTGTGGCGTTCTTTGCATTTTGACTGCCTCATTAAATAAAACAATACTGAGGGGAAAATACTAAAGATTAGTGGACAGCCTTCTCTCTTTAAAGAAAAAAAAAAGAAAAAGGAAACACACAATATTGAGTAGGCTGACTAACAACTGGCAAGATAAGTGGTTAAGAGGGAGACGCAGACTGCTGAAGCGAGCTGACAGACATAATGTGCTGTTGTTGGGCTTCTCAGTCCATAAAAACCTCATTTACACACTCCACTCCCCATCTGCAAGTCTACTGATCTGTGTGTGTGTGTGTGTCTCTTTGTGTGTGCGTGTGCGCTCTTTGTGTCGTGACAAACCAGTATCATTATGCAACACGGAGAAATGATGCTGTGTCCCCGCTACAGAGCCCCCATTCTGCTGTCCCTCTGCTGCCATTATTTCTTTCCTCTTTACACTCATCCTCACCCGTCTCATCGAGTATCTATTCTTGAACTTAACAATGCTGCCCAGTGTCCACACAGCAGCAGCGAGCGAACCACTCAGACGGAGGGAGGGAGCCGGAGAGGCCCGGAACAGCCTGACTGAAGCCGACGCTATTGTGATGTAATGTTAAATTATTTCACTTTGATGTTTTGTTTTTTGTCATGACGAGGGGTGACAATCTTGCTCCTGTTCTGATACTGTGACCACAGGATAGAAATCGCACTTAAAATTCTTAAAATCCACTCTGTCTGGGGTCCTGATGAATGACTTTCCAATATATTCATTACCTAAACTTACAATACAGATCCAACTAATAACACTGCAAATTGCACTATTGTATTTTCCCCTGAAATTCAATTCTTATAAAGCTTTAATGATGATGGAGATTGCTCACTAGTCTGCCTTCTACATCCATCTTTATTAAAATTGTACAAATGCAGACACTCGCTCATTTTTCTTTAACACAGTACTCACAAACTCTTAATTATCCCATTTATCTTTTCTTCATCTCACACGCTCACACACAAATGCATTCATACATAGCTGCGAATGTTCAGTCCCCAGCTTGTAGCTCAGCCCAGCCAGCACTTCTGTCTCCTTTTCACTCACATTTATGCTGATGCAGAGTCTTTCTTAATAAGCTAAGGTATGTGGTCTCAGGGAACCACTCTCCAAATCTGGCTGCAATCCATTTCTCTACCTCGTCGTTATGAGTGGCCGACTTGATTATTTCTTCTCGTGACTTTTTCAGAAAGTTGGGAAGTTAAAATGTACTTTTTTTCCTAACCTTAGGTGAAACTGACAAACTGTGATTGGCTCTTTGAAATTCCATTTACACAAATATTCACTTAGTGTTCAAGATAATCAAGATTTCAATGAATAAGCCAGTTCTGTTCTTACATTACACATGCAAGATGTGTCAGAAAAGTTAAAGGACTGGCGTCACAAAAGATCAAATCCAAAATACAAGTTTTCCCCTTCCAAGTAATCCCCCTGGAGTCTAACACACTGTCCCAGCCTTCTCTGCAACGCCGCCATGCACTCCTGGAAGGATTCTTCCGGGATCCTCCGCAGCTCCGTCGTCACAGACATCTTGATGTCGTCCACGTCTTCAAAACCCCTTGATGACCCCCTTGAGCTTAGGGAAGAGGAAAAAATCCCACGGAGCCAGTAGGGAGGTTGCTCCAGCACGGTGATGTTCTTCTCAGCCAGGAACTGTGGGATGCTCAGGGCATTGTGAGCAGGTTGTCATGGTGAAGCAGCCACCACTTGTCCTGCCACAACTCTCGCCTCTTGACGCGCACTGAATGAAGCAAACCCTGCAGGAGTTCTTTGTAGGCGTGCTGGTTGATCGTCCGAAGGGGAAAACTGGTAGTTTGTAGTTGAAATATATCTTTTGTGACACCGTCCTGGGATTTTTCTGACACACCTCGTATGGAGGGAAGAAGGACGCGTCACTGCAAATCAACACAAAGTTGTTCTGAGCGATCACCTTAATGATTAAACATGTCTATCCTGATGAGAGTGGTCTCTTCCCCCATCCATCGGGCGTGAGGGGTCACTGAATAATTTTAAGCATATGAAAATGATGTGACTCATTTACTTTGACCTTCACATCCACCAGACATTAACCCAACCACGCACCTATGGGAGATTTTGGACCGACATGCAACACGCCATCAATAAAACACCAAATGATTGAATATCTTTTGCAAGAATCCCCCAGTACACTTCAAAAATAAACTGCTAGGTGCATTAAAGCTGTTCACATCTTACCAAGACACCTTATTTTAGTTTTCCTCAAACTTGTCACTCGTCTGGGTAAACAACTTTTACAACTGAAATCCAAAAAAAAACAAAAAAAACAAAGCTTTTAGCAAACCCCAAAGGCTGCAGTTTAGGTTCTGTGTTATGCAGCATGTCTGACTCAGGGTTTGAAGTGTCGTTTCAGTGGTGACAGTCATGTTTTTATTGTTATCTCATGTTGCAACGCTTTTCATTTATTGCAGATTCAATATTGAAGTGAAGTTTTTAAAAAAAAAAGCATCACAAATCACATCACAATCGCAACATCTGTCAGAAAAGTCGCAATTACATATTTTGCTACAAATTGTTCAGCCCTGCTATTTGTATTATCCACCCCAGAATACTTCAAAAAGAATCTGATATAGCAATGCGCTAAGAATGATGTAAACATGGCAACCTATACTCCCTACAATTATGCATCATTCAAAGCATGATGAATGGTGGCAAATATTTATTCACCAGAGCCACAACCATTAATTGATGAGACGTCAGTTATGAAATTAATCATCGACATTTTGCTAATTGATTTATTAGCTCTGACTCCAGCTTTGTAAGTGATGGTAATTTTAGGTTTCTTTAAGGCAGTAAACTGAACATCGTCAAGTCATTTAAAGATGTCATTTGAGGTACTAGAGAACAGTGATTGACACTTTTCACCTTTTTCTGACATTTTATAGACCAAACAACTAATCAGTTGCTCAAGAAAAAACATTAGTTAATCACCCTCACATTGATGACAACTGACAATCGCCATGACTGTAAAAATCTGAGTATTAATAGAGATGAAATGATTGCTCAGTTAACTAAGAAGTTGACAGAGAAAATGAACCCCCAAAAACCTGAAGAATAGATGAACAATTCTCTGTCATTTCTGGTATTTTCTATACAAAATAAGTAAAGATATCGTCACATTAACAGCTGGTGAAAACAATCACCCTATTTTTCTCGCTGAAACTGTAAAAAAAAAGAAAGTGTTTTCTGAATTGGCTGCATTTTCTTCTATGCCCATTTTAAATGAATATTTATACTAACATCTATGTAACAGCAAGGCAAATAAAACCCTGCTTCAATTTACAAAACAGAGCCAGAAACGATCCAATATGAAATACCACACATTTGTGCGATGACCTGCCCTGTGCTTATCACAATATGAGAAAGAAAGCATATTATTGTTGGCATTCCCAGAATCTTGTTTCCATAACAATCACATATTTGAAGACTTCCACATCCTTCTGGACATCATATAATGCGGGCAAACTAAATGTTACCATTCCCGGTGCAACTGACCGCAGGCTGCAGCATGCTCCAAGTGACCCGAGAGACTAACAACGCACGTCCAAACGTTTCTGTGGTAACCGAAACCCTTTTAATGTTAGTGGTTTATTTTTTGAGGTGAATAAATTTAGCATCAACGTTAGCTGGGCTGTAGACGTTGGGAAACACTGGTGTAAATCTCCTCTTTTTCTGTTTCTCCTCCCCTGGGTCATTTCCTTGTCTTGCTGTTATTGGCTGCCAGGCTAATCTCTGACTGGGGCATCACAGATGGCACATAGTGAACGCCAACCTCACCACCAACACACACACCTATGATCTTTGTCTGAATCTCTCTCTTCTTCCCTCTTAGACGCACATACACACACACACACACAGACCTCAGCATGACAAATCACAAAACCACATGGTGAGACATGGCATGCAACAATATCTCACACATATTCACCATCACATCCTACCCAACACACATACGAACAGGCAAACACATGCAGCTCCAACATATTACTCATCTGGGTGCAGTATGTGTGACATTATGCCACATTTATTTATGTGCGAGAATACCATTATGCACTCTGTGTGTGCCTCCGTGTTTGATATTGAATCCAAAGAGTATTTGCAGATTATTCCCAACATTTGTTTAAACACACAGAGAGAACCAGGTGGGTGAGGTTTGCATAACAGCGGGGAAAAGCAGATCACAAGTTACGGTTCTGCCTTTTATCTTTTTAGAGATATCCATTTAAAAGTGTAATTCTGTGACAGTAACAACATCCCTGCTAACTACGCTCTCTTGTACTGATTCTGCTAACCCCGCCCATCTGGTGGCTCAAGTGCACAGCAACAAGCAGTGAGATTTAAGTGCAGCCACAGGTCAAACCAGGTCTGCTGTGTTCCTCACCTTCTGTGCTGAGGCCAGGGCTGGAGGTGAAGCTGGCCACATCGACGATCTTTACAGCGAACTGCTGGCCGGTGTCCCTGTTGATGCAGCGCCTCACCACGCTGAAGGGACCCCTGCAACACACACACATGCAGAGTCAGTCATCGACAAAAAACACACAAGGCACAAATGTCTCCGATTTCTCAGATTCAAACAAAGGAAAAGCTCTGAGTTCACTCAACATAAACGCATAATAATGGATACACACCAGCTTGGTGCAATGGGCAGACATAGTGTTGTTCCTGAGAATGTTCTGGATTTACAGTGGGTGGTTAGCTACGCTCCGTAGCCTCCATGCTCGTGCCAGTGGGAATTATAGAGCAGTGTGGTGCAGCGCAGCTGTAAAAGCTAAAATAAAAGCTTTATTATAGAGACCTGTGCAAGGGAGACCTACCCTACATGGTTTATTTCTGGGCAAAGGAGGTGGTAGATATTGCAAATTTGTGTTTCCTCATATAGCTGCATAGGGGCTGACATGTGGAAGTTATAAAGCATGTTTTCCTGACCTATTTCCAACAGCAATTTTCAGAAGCTTGTATTAAACATGAACAGAGCAGTCCAGCAATGTGTGGCAGAGCCTACACTTCTTAGAGAGTATTTCTGTTTTATTTCTAACAGCAAAATCAGCTCTGTGGCATATTAAAACTGACATCAACAAGTGTGTTCAGCTACACAATTCTCAGAAACAAGCTCACTGTTTGCTATTCTAATTCCACGGATTTCATGTGATTAAAAAATTAACACTGGATTACTTGAGATATTAAGAGGTGTAATCTTAAATCAGCACGTTTTCTGCTCATACGGCAATTACTTCACCTCGTTATCTGGGGGGAAAAGTCACACTGCTACCAATCAAGTTCAGTCTCTGCTGTTATTCTCTTCAAGTCTAACTATATCTAAAAGGAACTACAGGTTGCAGGGTAAAGTCGACTAACAGAGGACAATTCCATTCGTAACAGCGGTTCTGAATTGCTTCAGACAGTCACTGTATATGTAAATTTCTTGGTGGCTAACCCAAATAGCTTTAGTCCCACGCAAATTGTTTTGCTTTGAATTTCTGTTACATTTCTCTTTTGGAAGTCTGCCTGCGAATGTAGGTTAAAGTGAGGATCTAAAAAAGAAAGCTTGCCGGAACAGTGAAGGCATATGTAGCCTAACAGATTGGGGGGAAATGACTTTTCCAATTTTCTGTCAGAAGTTGGGTTGTGATGCTGTCTGTCAAGTGTTGGATATCAGAAGAAGAGGTTCTCATAGCAAGGAAAGACGGCTGTTCAATGGATTAAATCAAATCTTAGAATCATAATCAAATAAGTTTCATTTTCATATTTGATCAAATCCTCGATTGATTGATTTGTTTTTTAGAAAACGGTGACAAATCAGTGTTTAAAAAACTGAAAATATTCACATTTAAGAGCTACAATTACAAAATTTTTACTTAAACTAAATAATTGGTTATCAGGATAGTTGCCGATTAATCTGATAGGTGACAATTTATCGATTAAGCCCTCCAGCTCCACTGATCACACATCTCGGATTTTCTTTTGAATGACGAGTACATGAAGCAGTCATCACATGAATCATTACAACACTGCATATGAAAAAAACAAAACAAAAAAGAAACACAAATTTGTTGGCCTTCTACAAGCATTCCTGTTTCCTGCAAGCGATATGAACAAACAGATATATGTAGGAACACCTTATGGTTCATTAGCATCACAGATTTATATGGCATTCCTCTGTCGTGACAACAAAGCATGAGAAAAATCTGCAATAAACCGGTGGGAACAGGCACTGAGAAATTTGAGACATTTACACATGTTCTGTGTCGCGGCCCACTGAGAGTTTAAGACACCATCGCATACACAAACCCCTGCCGTGTTACAGCTGTCTCTACATCTCCCAGGTCTATAATCCTCAGATGTGTAACCAATGCTACCGGAGACACACACACGCAAACAGACACACACACAGTAACACCCATTTGCCGAAGCAAAGTGGTGGCCATTACCAGACACTGCTTTAACCGAATTAGCAAATAAACTTGCCTGACAATTTTAGTGTCAAAACCAACAGCGAAAGCTATCCGGTTCAGGCTGTCTGCCCCCGTTGCGAGTGTGGGAGCTGCAGCTGATTCGCTCTCACATTTGTCTCTCACATCTGCTGTAATGATTAACCCATACAAACAAAGGCGGGCAGCCTGCGGACCAAGAGAACTGTAAAATGCGACACTTTTCCCTTTTAGACTTCACAGGAATCCCGTTGATGAACCGACAGCCCCGCTGACCTTTGCCCTCCTGGGTTGATGTGCTGCAGCAGCTGTGTTTACCCATTATTAAATGGGAGGTGTAGAGTGCTGCTCGAGTGCATGATGGAGCTTCTGACATCGCACTTCTAACCCAACTATCTTTTCTGATCTGTATTAGTCTGGTGAAGATTTGCAGGTTAAATAAGAGGCTGCAACCATCTTAGTGCTGAATTGTATCGTCAAATAAAGACCAGCAGCAGCGTCTTTGATAATGACTCGGGGCGTGGTCGATATAAACAAATAAAACCTGTCTGTAATAATGCATGGCTCTACAAGACTTTAATCTTTGTTTTAAAATGGCATTTTACAGGATTCAAACTGGCACAGTGGTGCCGTTTGGTTCCTTCATTGTGATCCACTTTCCTTTGTTGTCCTTTAATCCAGTCTGGCTGTTGTTGCACATGATATGAAATGTTGGGAAAAGAAAGGTTTCTGTCCACTGAAATAAATTTAAAACAGTTACAGGAGATGTTGAGTTTGTAATGAGAGCATAACACAACAACTTTAACACATCAAAATGCAGCTTCGTACTAAAACATGACCGATTATAGTTGTCAGATAGAGGGACTCATGAATTAAAGCCTGCCTCTGATACTAGCCTGCTTCAAACAAAGGCCTGTTACCGTCTGCACGAGGTAAATAAAAGCCCCGGTTTCTATTTGAGGAGATACGGTATGTCAATAAAAGTCATTAGCGCCATTAAGCAATGAGGTGGAGTTGGGTGAACCTGCAAGATCTTATGCATCAACCTCATCTGTAATTGTCAATTCGACAGAGAATCAATTCCCAAACTGGCTTCGTTGTTACATTAGGTGTGTGCTGCTGCCGTTTAGTTTAATGAATTAAAATGCAATTCATCTCATCATCTGGAATAAAAATAAATAAATAAAAAGACCATTCAGCCATGCACAGCAGCTATTATAGAGGCCTTATGAGAGAGCGAGTGTAAAAGAGAGCGAGCATGCATGCATGTGTTGTTGGTTGGCTATCGTTCTGAGGACACGTTCTTGGGCGCGGGGACATTTTGGGACAGCGAGGGCATTTTTCTTATTTTCTGACACACCCTTTAAAGGCTATAGGAGGGCTCAGACTTGGTTTCACAGTTAAGGTTAGATTTGGGTTTAGGTTGTGTGTCACTCGGTGTGATGAATAGTTCGGAAGGGGCGAGGGGAGGCATTATGTCAATGAGCGCCCTCACAAAGACACGAGCACAAATGTGTGTGTGTGCCTGAGTGTGAGGAAGCGGAGAGGCCGCATGCCATACTGACATCACCGCAGCTGTGCTGAGTGGGCTCATACAAAACGCCCACACATGGCTCACATCCGACAGCAGCAGTCATCAAACATTAGCCCGAAGTGGCAATCTTTACAGACTGCTCCTTGGCTCATTTCGGCTCTCTTGCTTTATGTAAATCAAAGACTGCGTGTTAGGTGCGTTTTTAACATCCACACTGGCCCGGAGCCAAATTTCCTCTCAGGTGTCTGTTTTTTCGCCTCTCCCAATCAGGCACAGGGCACATCTGTAGCTGCAGACTCCACATCACCGGTACTGCCCTCTTGAGAGCAACAATCTTTGCTTAAAGCAGCATTTTGCTCTTTAGCTGTGGCCAGCAGCTAACATAATTCACCACTCGCCTGGACCAGAAATTTGGGGGGAAAATGTTTGTGCAGCTGCTAGGTACAGTAACATAATTTGTCTGCATTTTTCAGCTTGGCTAACTACCGGTGTTGGTCAGTCCAGGGCTGTAATACTCAGTCAGGTAGACTGCAGCTCATCTGGTCTTGTGCTGTTAAGTATTATCATCAGTGGCCTACAGTGACAAGCCTACACCACTAATTTTCTGCACACCCCCACTTAGCTTTTTTATGAAAACACACACATACCACTTATAATTAATGACAGTGAAATCAACACACACAAAAACAAGCAGCCCAAAAAGGTTTAATCAGAGTTTTGCTGTGGACCACAAACTCAGCTATTTGTAAAGTCTAAACTTTACAATTAGCTAAGTTTGCAGTGATGCTGACAGATACACAGAGTTGGGACTATTCACACATTTTGACAGAGCAATCTCCTCTGACAGGGAAAAATGTAAGTCAATTATAGTGATTCCAGTGAACAAAAATCCAGATAACTGTTGTTTGCCCTACTGCCCAAACTGAGCTTAAGTGCAAAGCATTTTAATTTAACAAGTTCAACAAAGTTCAGTGCTGTGTAACCACAGTCTGTGTATGTCTGAGCAACAATAATCCACAGCGCTTCCTTATGCAAATTAGGGAAACAAACCCTTTGAATATTAGCAGTGAAATTAGCATTCGGGTTACAAACTGAAATTCAGAGCAGAGATACCCTCAGGAGGTTTTAAAGCTTTGCCAGAAAATCCTTTCCTCTACATAAGCCAGGGGAGGATCCAGGATTTTTTAAACCTCCCTGTAGAGTCTGGCCTTGTAGTCTGAAAGAGAGCCTCAACTTTACACCATCCATTCACAACTATTGATCTGCTGTGTGTGGGCAGCTGAAAGGAGCATATACTGTACATGGAGAGGGAAGTTTAGGAGTAGAGAGAACAAGTTTAGTAGAGACAAATAACAGTGAAACCTATGTGTTACGCAGTGCCACAACATGATATATGTACATCACAGTTTATATAATTGACCTTTCAACCTGAAGACAACATGAACAGCATTAAAAACATGACTTTTTAATCAAACATAAACGACTCCTTCTTGATGGCTTCCTCTACAAAACCGATGGCAGGATGACACCCTCAGTAATGTGATACTTTATTGATCCCAGCAGGAACTGCAGCAGTGTCTTGCTTCAGGACACTGAAGTGGAAGCTTGCCAAGCCTGGGACTTGATCCCTGGGTTTTCCAGCTGAACAACAGTCTCTCCAATCCTATTTACATACATAAAGGAACAAAACACTACATAGATGTCATCATATGCAAACCATATTTGCATAAATACTAAAGATGGCCTTTAAAATCTCTGCAGAGACTAATTAACACCTCTCTGGCACAATGTTGGCAGAAATGCCATATAAGAATCCTTCATAAAGTCAGCGGTAGCAGTGAATGGCCTCAGAGCTGTGTACCTAACAAAGAGGTGAGTCAATGCAAAATCAGTCAAATGGTTTGTAGCTAAAAGGTAACAGCTTTGAAATTAACACTCAGTTTAATGGAAATGACCCACCACGAATTTCAATGATTACCAGTTTAAGGAAATTCTAAATTTAAAAAGCACCACACACTTCCTAGTTTTACCTTCTGAGAGGATCTCTGCTTGTAATTATTAGAAATGTATTATCTTTGGTTGCAGACTATTAATTGGAGAACAAAAGGAATATGCAGATGTCACTTTGTGTTCTCGGAAATTTAGGTAACACAATATTTCAAATCAAATCAAGTATATTGTCATTTTGCAGCACATACAGTAATACAGGCAAGATGAGAGAGCGCTTCTTCAGGATCATTTAATTAGCAAGCTTAATTGTAAGCTTTGCGGAATGCACGTCTGGGATAGGCAAGACGCGAAACATTCCCTCTCGCGGTCTCCTGAAATTTACCTTATTTTCTGATATTTTACTGAGGGATTCAAAGGTTAATGAGAAAAGTTTAACAAATTTAAAGTCAGAATAGTATTCCAAACACGAACATCATAAAATTTAATTTGCCTTAATTCTAATTTCGGCTGGTAACATGTTGACACATATCTCACGATTCGATCACCATGATTAAAGATAAATCAAAGGGTATTACTGAATATTTTCCAACCATCTCCACTTGATCCATTTTGCTAGTTAAATCTGACTGAAACTACTAAACACATCTGATAAGTGACAACAAAAGTTTAACTTTAATTACTTAAAGTTAAAGCAATCTATGGCAAATGCTGCTAATGGATAAACAATTTGGCCTTCCTGCAGAGAGGCATTCTCTCTGCCATTTGAATGCTAAAGGCTGCATCTGTTTGGGGAGAAACCATCATTAGACCACTAAAAATTACAAAATAATCAATGAAAATTTGAGATCTAAATGTTGCCCAAGCAATTTAATTATCCAACTCAGAATAAGCCAGAGGACTGATCACTTCATTGGTTCAGAGTGAGTTGCACATCCCAATATCCTTGGCTCTAATGAGCACCCCAGGGCTGAAATAAAGAGCACTGTGACTCCAATAGTGCTTCTCAACAACCTCAGTCCTATTCAAACAGAATCATTACAGACAGAAATGGATTAAATTGCCTCAGTGCTTCACCAACACTTCAACTAGAGCTGAAATCTCAAAAACAGGCCTGCGGTTACTGCAGTATGTTCATCACATATTTACTATGTAAACTACAAACGATGAGGACGTAGAGCGCAGGGTCGGACTGCCTACACTTGTTCAATAACCAGTGTCATCTTTCACCAGAGTTAATCAAGTCAGAAGATGAACGGACACCTGACCTGTCTGCTCTTTCTCTGCTGAAATAAGGCTAGTATAACAACAGGGGAAATAAGTGAACATTTGCAAGCAGGAGTTGTAAAAATCAGACACAGCCCATGTCTGTCTTTATAGCAATGCTACACAGACATATGCAGCGCTTACCGTTGCCATGCAACTATAAACCCTGATGAATCTGACTTGCTAAAAGTTCATATATTTTGACTTGGTGTGCTTTGGCTCGCAGTTTTAAAACCTTGCTAAGATCTGAGTGCTGCCAGAAAAGCAAAAGCACATCTTTCCATTGAAAATAATGAGAACAAGAAGGTAGCACAGAAAGGAGAGAATCCCGGTGGACGAGATGCCTGAGTCTGTAGTCTGTGTGTAATCACACAGCGCCTTCAACACCATATCAACTCAAAGAGCGATGCTATCACTCAGATCGTCTGCATCTTCAAAAGGCTAATCAAGAGGGCACCATAAGGAAAAACAGGAAAAGCGCTAACTACACTATAAAGTCCACAGCTTCACATTATCACAAACCTTCTCTATATGAAGTTACTGACCGTATTTCAGTAGAAATCACCCTGAACATGGCTCTCTGTACAATCCGTGTTTAGTAGAGATGATTATTGGACAGTGATGCTCTCAATCCCACCCTGCCAGGCTGCTCTTCTCTGACACAAGCCGATCAGGGACAATAATAGACGACTTTTCTGAACAACAATAGCAGTGTGAGGGAGGGGCGGACTGGATAAAAGGGTTTATGTACAAGTTTGAAAGGAGCTGAGGTCAAAGGTCAGTAGGAGACATGTGCGGATACAACGGCACCGAGATCATCCAATTATGAGAGACAAATCACCATGGCTACGCTTACACTGCATAGAGGATGTAAAGGACAAACTAATTAATACAAACTTATTGGGCATTAGCTCATTTCACCCACTTAAAATGAAAGTATTTGTTCTGTTAATGTGACCTGATTAGACACTGTTCATTGAAACATCCCTCTGATCGGCTGTTTTTTTTAAAAGATCAGTTACTACAAATATTTCATTAATAGTTGGATGCTTCTGAACTTGTAGATAAACCTCAGTTTCAGAGGCAGTAAAAACCCAGATTACATTTGAGGGGCAAGAACATGACAAAAAAGTAAGGAAAGCCTTGGGACGCCCTTCGTTGACGTTATTTTGTCAATCCGTTTAACCCAATGAGCAGTCAAATTGTCATGCTGCTTTCAATCCATTTTGCGTGGCGATAAATCTGACTATCCCCTTACGTGACAAAATGGTCTGGCTTCTGTTACAAAATGCACTTAGGCTAAAATGAGGGAGCAATATCCACTAACCAGGAAAGATACGGAACAGACTTTTTTTATGATGGATTTCTGTGGTTATAAAACACTTTCATTTCAAGTTTTAATTAATTAACATCCTCAGGTTTCAGCAGTCCGCCGTGCTGTCCACTACTTACAGTAGTGTCGACAATAAAACAGAAGGTTAAAAACAAAGTGGGAGATGGCAGAGTGCTGCAGTCAATGTCTGCTGGCATTATTTATATCCTTAGCCTCAGGGCCATCACATTCCCAACTCCACTTGTCTCCATTGATCTGCCTCAGCCTCTCTTCCCCTCCTCCTCAGGGCTGAGGAAAAATGATCCCCCCTCTTCTTCCCGCAACACATCCCAAGACACCAGGACTCAACACACTTGATCCATCAACTGCAGTTTCACAAAAGAACTGGCTGGATAAGAGGGATTTTCTGGTCTTTTCTGTGACACAAATGTGGCATCGCTCGTTTTTTTTTTTGTTTCAACCAAAGCTTAAATTATGACTTAAGGTATTGTTTGCTCAAGTTCTACTCTTCTACTGACCAGTCTGGATTGAGTGACCATACCTGCACAACTGCTTCACACACTCAATGAGTGTTTGCTTTTGGCTGCAGGGAGTATTGAACAGGTAGAGGTTATTTAATCCTGCCTACTAAGATAACCTGTGTCTATCTACCTTTACAAAAGTGCTATTCAATGCAGGATGTAGAGATACTGAAAAGACATTTTAAGGTAGCTGTGACAAACTCTACTAAAAAAAAAAAATCTAAATAATGTTTCACTGAGCCCTGGTTCATGACAATAAGTAAAGCATGAACCCAAGCTTATTTGTATTGTCAAATAAAAGAATGCAAATAGAATTTTTGCAATATCTGGCACTTTGAATCTGTTAGTGGGACTCCAAGGTAGTGGTCCTGGATGAACCATCAATTAGTAACCACGGCAACATGAACTCTCAGGATAAAGAATAGGGCCCGAGGGTCTGAAGAGAGCGTGTCTCTTTCCTTCGACAAACTTAATGGACCCTCAGACCTCCAATGAGGGAGGCTTGCAGGGGGGGGAGGGGACTGACTGGTAGCCAAGGCCTGTCAGCCTTCCCGCCTCACTTCCAGGACTTGAGGAGCCACGTCTGACCACACAGACGCAACACACAAACTGTGGCAATTATCAGATTTCATGGGACCTTAAACTTTTGCTCCTCATGGTTTTAGCGTGCCAGTCTCCTGGTTCGTGCCACTGTAAAAGTCAACAAAGCTATGCCTCCTCTGGACACTTTCATTGTGTGTTTATCCGGCCAATCCGACTGTAATTACATGCAGGTGTGGCCACTGTCAAACAAGGAGATTACGACAAGGGGGGAAAAAAAAGAAGTCTGCCTGCAGATTATTTAGAATGAGCAGCCAGATGAATCGTACACATGGCCTGTTTCAAACTGTCAGATCAGAATGACAATTCAACTCCTCTCTAACTGCACTAAATGACATTCATGCACACATACAGTAAAAACAAACTTGCAGATTTCCAGCTATGCAGTACATTCAGACAAGATAGATGACAGCTACTACATGTTTTTAACTTGCATTTGATAAAGTTCACATCAGGTAGAGGCTGTAAACTTCTGCACAGAGGTGAGGATGTCTGACAGTGTGTGCCTATTAAAACATTAACAAATGCATGCTTGCAATTAAACCCCATGTGAAGTTAATTGGCACCACACTGACCTCACGTCACCCACCCAATGAACTTTCCCCTTGAAAAACCTGCTGGCCAACACATAGGAGCAGCCAAATTAAGCGTGGCCCCTGCAGCTGTGTGTTGTGTATGTATGTATGTGTGTGGGTCAACATAGGAGGATAACACACAACACCCAGAAAGACCCGAACACCAGCAAACAGCGAGTGGCAAATGGCTACTTACTTCCCGATCACCTCGCACAATTCGTAGACATCCTCGAACAGCACGTCGTCGTCCGCCATGGTCATACAGGTAGACGAGGATGCTCTCCTCAAGATATCCCACCCACACGGGCTCGGAAGGAATCAATGACAACGTATTTTCTCGCCGAATGGGGTGACTGTCGTGTCAGCCTACACACTCCTGGTAATTTAAAGCCCCCAAAATGTCAAGACAGTGAAAAAACAGCGGCCACTCAAAGAGTCCAAGTTAGCCGGCTAGCCACATTAGCTGTCGTCCAAGGCTGTCACTCCGCGGCCCCACCTTCTCCTGAGCTACTCTCCTGGTAGGCTGGCTAGCCAGCGAGCTAGCTAAATAGTAACCACAGAGCAGACCCCAGGGCGTGGAGATTTCCTCGCTCGCTTGCAAAAAAACACCCCTCTTTGCATGCCTCGGGTTTGTATCTTACTGCTGGATATCGCCTGGTACAGGACTTCCCCCCAGCAGCATCCACGGACACTCTCCCCGCACCGACCAAAGATGCTGCCTTCACCGCAAGCTAACGGGACTCTGGAAAATGGTTGGCTAGCTGGGTTTAATTCGAGCTAGCTGTCGATGGAATCACCGGTTGGCTCGCGCCGTTATTGCGCTGTGCACACCCAGTGTATCACAGATGGCTTATCCCACCGAAAAACCGAATGTGACCGGGCTGCAATATGCTTCAGCTTCCCGAGCCCAGATGGGAGACCTTCATGTCCACGACGGCTCCGTTGCATTCACCGTCGGCGCTGGAGAATATAGGAATTATATTCCAACACAGCTTCCTTCGTCCACCGTTGCTCCAGTTCTTACGCTGGCTCAGATGCTGGCTGGCTTTGACTGGCTGTTTCTCCGACTTCCAGAAATGCCAGGCTCCTCCCTCTATCGTCCAGGAAACTGGTCCGGCCAGAGCCGAAATGGCCAGGGAGAGTAGGGGCCCAGAGTCCTGTTTCAGCGGCGTCGGAGCCAAGATGGCGGTCAGTGGGGGTCCGATTTAGGCGCAGTTTCCTAATCTCCTCCAACGGTTGCATCCAGTGTATCCCGCGCAGGCGTGGTCGATCCAAACCTCATCACCTTACGTCAGCCTTTCCCCTTCTCATCTCCATCATTTAACATGCAGTTTATTCCTCTCTAAATTACCTCCTCTGTCAGTAATAACTTATTTCCCACATATTCACTGCCAGTCATACGAAAATACTGATGTATTTCATAATCAGAAAATAAGGAAGGATGGCAGCAATTTAGAGTGATTTTCTAACTCCCTTGAGTCCTCAGGGAGGTTCCTCAGCAAAAATGATGGACAGCTCAGTCTATATATCATTTAATTAATCTGATAATTAGGCAGTGGCACAGATGGGTGTATTATGGTGTAAAAATTCTACCCGGTGGAATTTGTATGATTATCTACCCCCGTCTAAAGCCTTTTCTTGTAGGAAATTGGTAACATTTTTGGCCAAAGACTCTGGAGAACAGCGTTAGAGACGATTAGTGTGTAATAATGTTAGGATTAAGTCTCATTTATTTTCACGTAATCTTTGTGCAGGTGCAGGGGTTCCTCTGGGGCAGGTAGCAGGTGCAGGTGGAATTTCCTCAGGTGTGGGAAGACAAGCGAAGATGTGTCGGTGATGCCCCCTAGAGGCCATGTCAGGAGTTGTATACATGCCCCCATTTTCAATGTCCTCGAAGGAAATGCAACACATTCCAGCACAAAATGAGAAATAAATAAATAAATAAATCACTGTGAGGGTCTGAGATTTTTATAAGCAACAATAAAAATAGCAGGTGTAACATTACTTTATGGTACAACTTGGATCTAAATTGATTAATTTTTACCCTATTCATGGATGACATGAGCATATAATAATAAACCCTGTCTTACCACATCCAGTCAAGGCAGGTGGGCCGCCCTACCTTTGCCTGGTTCTGCCGGATGTTGTTTCTCCACTGTCGCTAATAGGAATCATTGGGATTTGTTGCACCATAACACGACATTGTACGGTCTTGTGAAGGGCCCTGAGATGACTAACGTTGCAAATAGGTGCTAAATAAATTAAAATAAATTCAATTATAATAATTAAAATCAGATTCAGAATTCAGCAGGTCACATACAATTACTGTTCAGTGTTATTTTATTAAGTCAGGCTAATTTATTTGCATGTTTGTTTGGGGGAATTTCTACAAACATACAATATAAAATGTATGTATTGTACAAATATAGACAACTATGAAAACATGCACTCCTGAAATGGTTTAATTTAAGATCATGTTCTCATAAAATCCTAAATAATTATTTCAAGTATTTGTGGTGACATTCAAATGCTCAGCTGTTTGACCTCGCAGTGTGACATGTTCTTTAGATGAAGGCCCTGCATATTTGTCATCCCGTGGTCGAAATAATTTAGATGGAATGTAGCAAACAGATCAATCAGGCATATCTCCAGTGCCAATCAAAGATAAAGAGTATCTAACAAAAATGAAAAAGCAGCAAAGAATAAAATGGGGAAATGAGCTGGGAGACAGGTAAATAAGTCCCACAAGACACCAGAAGTTCTCTGAAGCAGAAGGATGAACTCAGCCATGCAGATGAGGATAAACAAACACATCTGGTGCCACTAGAGTGCGCTCTTCTCTTAAGGCACCCACTGCAGTTTCCATGGCGCTGCATCCCTTCTCCTCACACATCATCTGCGAGCTTCCCCCATTGGTTGAAGCCCACCAGGAGCTACTGATCATCCGATTGGCTGTTGATGTGGTCATCATACTGTCTGCTATTGAACAGCCCCTCCATTCATTACACTGTAACTTGCAGCACATACAAATCGCCACACGTACACACACACAAAGGTACGGTTGGGTGGCTGGGCCCGGTGTGAGACGAGAAACAATAAAAAATGGACAAAAGTACATGGGAAGACAGAGGGGAGTTGAAACAAACACTAAAACTAAGTGGAAAGGCACCATGTGTGTGCAGAAAAAAGAAAAGAGCGCTGTTTCCATGGTAACAGGGAGGGGAACGGTTTTGTGGTTGCATGGGAAACTGGCAGCGAGTGAAATATGCACACACATTAATACACGTACGCACTCTTGCATTTGTCACAAGCAGGCTTCATTTGCTTACATTCTTTCCCCAGAGACTGCACTGCACACCTGACCTCGCTCCTCATTGGACCTGAACACAAACCTTTGTATCCTTAACCAAAGAAGGTCTAATGAACAGCTTTTTCAGGCCTGATGGTCAAACTTTAATGCATTTTTGATTGGCTTTAGCTGTCTTTCCTGGCTGGTGTAGCTTTATTAGTAATATATCTATGTCAGGCATATAATGTTGTATTATAAAATCACTCATTTTTCGATTCATGACTTTGAGAAATAATCTGAAGTAAATCTAGCGACATCCTAAAAAAGACAGCAGTTCAGTGCACAAAAGTTGAACATTTAATCTGCTGAATTTGTGAAAGGCAGCTTCAGGAAACAGGGTTTTCACTGGCAGCTACTCGGGCTGCTATTTGTTTTAAGCTTAATATTGTTCTCTAAGGAGCAATAAGCAACAAGAGAGGACACATCCACTCAATGTGCTTTGCAAGTGTTGTTCCGAACAGAAACGCTGACCTTTTTATATTCCAGCCACCGAACAAGCGGTTGTTGTTTTTGCTGTAATGTAAATATCAGGTAGTTTATTTTTCATTTTTCTTCATTTTTTTTCAATTTAGACATGCCACAGAGGAATTTTTTCATTACAATGATGTTAAACTTTCATTCGCGTAATCAAAGTATGGTTAGTTTTACTATAATGGAATGTATGATGTAAGGTCAGGGACACAAAAAAAGCAATGAAGTAAACAGTATTTCATTTAACATACAGTTTGGACATTTGTAGTGTTTTGTTGTTTACATAACTGTAATTTACCCTTCCATAATGAGTCACCTGATGCATTTTCTTTATTCTTGGAGAATATTTCATCCCTTCTCTACTCTCTTTTTACACTCTTTTAAATTAATTAATTTCATTTATTATACCACCAACTTTCAAAAATTGTTTACTCGTTTTAGATTCGGTTTATTCTGTTGTGAAAAATGTTTGTTCTCGTAGAAGAAAACTACAAATCCCTTATCTTATTTGGAGTGATGTGATTGGCTGATTCTAACCGCGCAGACTCCTGGGAAAGCGCGGTATAACGCACCTTAACTTGGTTTGCCAACCCCCATTGAACAAACAGGTAGGCAGCTACAATCAAAGTCACGTGGGCGGTGGGAGGCAAGTGGGGGTCAAACATAGGGAAGAAAACATCATAACACGTCTGAGAACAGGTCACACAGGTCTTAATTACTCACTACATAAATTAGGTAATCATCCCACTGGAAACTGCACACATTGTAACCAGCCAGAAACAGTTAAACACGTATTACTTCACTGCAACAAATATGATAATTAGAGGAAGAACCTCGACCTGTCATTAAGGAAGGCAAAACATCATAACTTTACAGTATCAGGGCTTCTGGGGGAATCAGCAAACAAGGTTCAACATTAAATCATTAAGTTCATTAGAGAAGCGGAGCTAGGTAACAAAATCTAATTTTATTTTTTTGTTTACTGCCTAATCTGTCGTCCCCACTCCAGTCCAGTTGGTGGCGGTAATGCACCTTAACTTGGTTTGTCAACCGCCATTGACACCCACAGAAGAAGAACCGCCATCGAAACCCACAGAAGAAGAAGAACAAAGCGCGATATTCAAAATTGCTTCCCGTTTCTTTCAGCTTCGGTCGGTGTGCCAGACATGGAGAGCCCTCAAAACAGGTAGAGCTCTGATTTATCCTATGTAATTAATTTTAAAGATACCATCTACTGTGTGTTTGCGTTTTCGATGACAAAGTTAGCAAAAGTTAGTCAGCAGTGCATTACGGCTCGTCTAGCCCTGTTAGCTGCTGTTCTCGTCCGTATGAACAGTCAGTCACGCCGAATTACATTCAGTAATCAATTAGTTTAATGTTAACTTGCCTTTCATGAAATACACGAGTATAATATAATGGTATGCAAGACTTTTTACGTATTGTTGGCTTTCAATTTTCAATTCGGCTGCAATGTTTTACTCAGGAGAGCAATGTACGAGATCGAAATGTCCAATTTTAAAGTAGTTTCTCCTCAGGCTCTAACAATGGTGTTCCTCGAAAGTTAAACGAATAGAAGTGAATGTGCACTGATGCTGTTTTGTTTTCTGTTCTACTGACAACTTTATCCATTTATCAGTTTTAAATGTCACGTTATGTTGTCTATAAACATAAACATAGTCTACACACGTGGACACCATTGTTGGTACTCCTCGGTTAAATGAAAGAAAAACCCACAATGATCGCAGAAATAACTTGAATCTGATAAAAGTAATAATAAATAAAAATTCAGTGAAAATTAAGCAATGGAAATCAGACATTGCTTTTGAACCGTGGTTTAACAGAATTATTTTAAAAAAATAAAAATAAACTCGTGAAACTGTCTGATTTTCATTGGTTAGTTTTCATAGAATTTTTATTTGCCATTACTTTTGTCTGATTCAAGTTATTTCTGTGACCACTGTGAGTTTTTCTTTCATTAACTGAGGGGTACCAACAGTTTTGTCCATGTGTGTATAATATGTATAGTATGTGTATGTGAAGAGAATGTGTCAGAAAAATACAAATGTATACAGAACCATTTAGGCCATTAGAACAATGTGTTTACATATGTTAAATATGCACACAGAAATATATAATCTCAAAAGCTAAATGCAATAATGGTAAACACTAACAGTCAAAAGATTGAAAATCATGTTATGTGAAGAAGATCCATGTGTGAACTTTCCAACTCAGCTTTGGTAAGGTTGTTTGGAGAAGAAGCCATAGTGCAAGGCAACAATTTCCAGGACACATGATAAGCTTATTTTAACCATAACATGCAGAGATTTAGGAGATTATATACAGTAGCAGGTCCATGGTGAACATTAGGAAGGATAAAGAAGTTAATGCATTGTGTGACTGATTTTAGTTGCTTTCCAGTGCTCTCAGTTTGTTTGACTGAAGTCGACCAACTCTACTCATTTTTTTCCTCTCAAGTGTGTAGAATAACTTAACTTGATCGTGTGAGAGAAGTACTAGTTTTACAGTGGACTATATGATGTCTACCTATGTTTCTAACTTGAGCAAACTCCAGAAAACTCATGTCATGATCTGTGTGTGATTTCCAGTGTGGCGAGAACTCCCTCCAACAGTGCGATCGTTCAGAGGAGGAGCAAAAGTAAGAGCTACCGGCAGTCGTACCGCAGCTGCTTAGGTGCTGCTTCAAGGTTAGGACTAACCCCTGGGTTGACGGCACGGAGACTCAACAGCAGCAGAAGAGCTCTGAAGTCACAGGTTATAACTGTGAGTCACACCAATCCATTGCTGACTATATTTTTTTATGCTACTAAACATACATAATCAATAACTGCTGTTATGTTGTGGTCATCTTTTCTATCCTGTCCTTTTCTTACCAAAGGAGAAGGTGAATCCGGAGCACCTGGCCATATTGGTGAAAGCAGAGTGGCAGCTGTCATACGTCACTCCTCTCTACCAGTTCAGACACACGCAGCTCAAGAGCTACTCAAGGCAGCTCTCTGCGTTCATTGCTGCAGAGAAGCAGCAAGGTTTGGCTGTGGAGGTGGAGGGATCACAGAGCAGCTTCAGAGTCTCCTTCTCTGTGGTGCAGGGGATGGCAGAGACCGACGATGACGCTGAGACTGTCCTTATACAGGTAAGCACGGGAGGCTGCAGAGGGAAATTCAGGATGATAGTGTCACTTTTTTTTACCTGAGGCTTTTTAAAGCTCTAAATCAATATCAGCGATGTAGCTAAAGGGTGATTCCATGAAAGCACACATGACCTCCTCGCAATCAGTGTTGAACCCGTTTCCATTGTAAACAACTGGTATCAAGATGTAGAGGAACTAAGATTCTGAGGAGTTCAGGTAGAGGCTTTTTTGGGGATTTTATATAGTATGACAATTCTTAAGCATGCAATCAACAAGTGGTTTTGAACTGAAGCAGCTATTTATTGCACATAACACATGTCTCTAACGGTTCTGTTTCCCACCACAGATCTTTTCAAAGCCAATGTTTGCGAAGCAGGATGAACCCCAGCGGTCGGTGTGGAGCGGCTGGTTAACCTGCATCAACGGCAACCCCGACTACCTGCACTCACTTCCTAAAGGCTTCACCTGTCTGCCGCTCTTTGGCAGCAGCGGCGCAGAAGTTCTCACCTCTTTGGTCAAATCCTGGTTCCAGCAGACCTTCGACTGCTGCTTCGGCTGCTTGGAAATCAACCAGACCAGCCTGCAGTGGCTAGCAGCGTTATGGACTAACTGCCACACGGAGTCCAGCCTCAAGCACCTCAAAATGATTTGGACTATTCCAGTTGTGCCACCGCTGCAGGTCACCTACACCGTTGACCCCCAAGATGCGTGGGAGCTTTGGATGAGTGTGAGGATGGATCAGCTGGACAAGAGTGAGGAGGAGGAGGAAGAGCAGGCGAGAAACATCGATATTGAGGAGGTGACGAGGTTCATGCAGGGGCTGAAGAGCCACTTCTACAGGCACTTCAGGCTGGACTTGTCAGCAGGAAACCTACAGCAGGTCTCCACAGCGCTGGGATCAGCCAAGTTCAGCGGCAAGATTAAGGTACTGCAGCTGGATGTTGAGCAACATGATTTGATTAAAATTAGAGGTTTGTGTTCTAAATATTTGTTTCCTTCTGTTTCAGATCTCCAGCAGCAGATACATCATCACCACCCTGGCACTACTAACAGAGTGCGCCCTCCTCAAAATGCCCATCTGATGTCCTTTTGTAAATATGTTGTATGTATATATGTTCATGTCCACCTGCATGTCTATTTGTGTCATTTATAGTTGTAAATAAAAGCAAAACAAGATGTAGTTTGACTAACAGATGCTTTGGCTGCAACTAAGGAGTATTTTTATTCAGTTCAAATGAATTCAAATGTTTTATATGTCAAATAGTGACAGAGCCTATGGAGACATCTGCAGGATGTTTTTCTGGACCAATAGATCAAATATCAAAGTGACATTATAGAGATATGAACCTGCAAATTGTCACTTTGTTGAGATTTGAATTTCTGCTCGACTCAGTGACCTAAAAGGTTGATCAATAACAGCTGTTTTCTCAACCCTCCACTGAAACATCTTAAATTATTCTTTCATTTCCAGAACTCCACACAGAAAACACTCTTTTTTTGAAATTTTACTGTTACTTAAGACAAAATCAGGCAACTTTATTTCAAAAAAAGACACAAAACAAATTCACCAAAACTCAAGTAGGGGGTTATCAAAATAATTAAATAGAAACAATGAAGGGAACATGAGCGTACAAAACACCAGATGGAGACATAAGCTCTTTTAAAGTAAAAAAAAAAAGAAATCCCCTCTGAAATACTGAATATTGCACTGGTAGAAAAAGGCCAAAAAAGGAAGAAGAAAAAAAAAAAGTAAGCAACTCGTGATCAACTTAACCGGACTCCTGTGAGTGGATGTCCAATCTCGATAATTAAAGTGATGAAGCACAACTCGGCAGCATTGCTGTTTTGTTATTGCTACACTGACACTATTAAATGCACAATGACAACAGCGAGGGCGTAGGAGTCACAATTGCTCCCCCATTATGCTCGTTAACGACCCGACTGGTGGCTCTTTTGGTGTGTAGCTTGTGATGGTGGTAATTTGGGTGCAGCAGATGCTCAGCCTGTCATTAAAGGGCATTGTGGAGCTGGGGATTGTGTCAGTAACAGGAGCTTTAATACTCAGCGTGGTCCGTAAAGCAGAGGATATTCCAAGACGCAGCTCGTGACCTGTGCTGTGCATCAGTTAGAGTGGAAACTTTTCCCCCCCCAGCCAGTGTGGCAAACTTTAAAAACCAAACTGCTTAAATGGCATGTAAAGCTAGCATACTTCACAGCTACTTAAAAAATACCTCTAGGCACTAGACTGGGGGCTGGCGTTGCTTTCCCACTCTGCTGCGTTCCATGTCTTTTATATAATATTTACTCTTGTGTGTGTGTGTATTTACAGCTCTGAAAAAAGGGGGTTGGCTACATATTTACAATGGCGCCCACGCATGCCAACTTGCTTCTGAGATCAGAATGCGCCGGGCAAACACTTGGGCCGATCTAAACTTTGCAAAAGCGAAATCTGTGCTCGTTTGTGGCCGCTTGACATGTTCAGCAAAAAAGATCCACGGAGGGTCCCCGCAGAAGAGTCCTTCACAGTACAATCCAGGTGCACCAGGTCTCTGGCACACGCTCTTCAAAATGTTCACTCAAAAGGAAATAGCTAGCTAGGATTGATTCAAAACAATGGGGGGGTAGAAGAAGAACAACGTTACACAGTTAATACCACTGTCACAACAGATCATGCTATGATGTTCAACATAACCCCCCCGTTCACTTCATTAAAGAGATGAACCCTTAGACACATGGGGCCGAGAGGTAAACAATGGAGAGGAAAAGTGACCTATGTAGTAGTAGTAGTAGTGTGATTCACAGTAAGTAGAGACTCCAGCGTGTGCAGCAGCTTTAGGAAGCCAATCCCAGGAAGAAGCCACCGACGAATCCGCTGGACAAGACGATGTTCCTCTTTATAAAATCTGTAGCCTTTGTAGGAAGGAAGGGGAAAAGGATGACAAATGAGTCAACAAGGAGATCAAAACTGACTTGATCGTGAACATCCCTAAACCGCAAAATATCTGCACTGGTTTTAAAATGCATCTACGTTTTCTTTTAAAGCCTGCTGTGTCACCGTTACCGAGTGTAGTATTGCAAGCAGAACACTAGAGAGCACTGCTGGTTAGCAGATGAGGAAATAAACCTCCTTACGACACATTAGGAAAAGACATGCATTTAGTTTTTATTCGTTACAAATCAGGAAGTATGTTGGGTGTGGCGACTTTTTTTTCCCCCTCACATAAAGGTTTGATTTGGGTTTCCAGTAAAAACATGAGCAAAAGCAAGCGAGAAAGAAAGAAAGCAAGATTTGTTACAGGTACCTTTACCTCCTCAATGAATGTGTTTATTTCAGGGGCTGCTTTGTTTGCTTTCTTCTTTAGGTGCTTCTTTGCTTTGTTCACATCCTTCTCCACCTTCTTCCAGTCCACCTGAACGTAGCCGCTGTGATTGGCGATCTGCAGGAAGCAGCCACACTCAGAAATGACTCTGCATAGATCATTTAGATTTCTATCTCCTTTGTTCTTATCTCAGCTCTCAACTTTGAAGCTCGGTATATCATTCAGGTCTGACATATTATGATGATTTATTGAGACCCCTACAGACCTGTCAGCAAACCAAATTTCCTTTATCGATTAAAAAAAACCAAACATTCAAATTCATTAAAAGCTGCGGGCAATTCTTAAAAACTACTGTCTTCTATAAATAATGACTGGCGTCTAACTCTGCAGGTCATCTTTTTTTCAATTTAAAAAGATTACATGATGCATCAGCCAACTTCAAAAAGGTATAAATGATGATTGAGGGGACAACGAGCCCGGGAAGGTGTTTTTCTGACCTCATTCAGAAAACACTGAATGTGAACTATGGACTCATATAAAACACCACAGTGGAATGATTGCAAATGAATTCTAAGACCTTGACTGTAAGAGCTGCATAAATTATTATTTCAGTTGTCAAGTAGTAAATGAATCATTAACTATTTTGATAATCCATTTAACGCTTTGAGTAATTTCTTAAGAAAAAAAGATTAAATTCTGATTCCAGATTCCTAAAATGTAATATCAGCTGGTTTCTTTACTCTTCTACAACTGTTCACTAAATATAATTGCATTGTGGAAAAACAAAGCATTCAAAGGCTTTAGGAAACACTGCTTTTTTTCCTACTTTTCTGACATTTTATTGACTTGAACAACAATCGATTGATCAAGAAAGAAATCAATAGAATAATCAACAATGAAAATAATCAATAACTGGATTTTCTTTCTCTCTGTGTGTAAAATTCTGTGTTTTTTCAACAAATGAAAGACTGTCAACAGCATTAAAACCCAGAGAGACGCAAGACTTTATGAAAAAACATCCATCAATGCCTATAAACTTCTCACATCTTTCAGATTTCTCACAAATAACCTCTCGAGCTACTTTTCTGCGTTCAGCCTGTGAATCAGGTCATCTGGCTCTCTTCAATTTAATCTACTTGCCGAATGCAATGAAGATTGCTTTTAAGTGCCAAAATAAAACACTGGAATGCCCCACGAGCATCCAGATGGTGTGTCCATCGAGCGCCAGCTGACACACAATGCTGGTCTTTCTGCTGCAGAGAGGGGACCAGCTGAGCGGCATGCCGTGCAGCTGGCATCTTCAGTTGTCAATGAAGTCGGCAAAATGTGACTCTTACAACGGATGCACTTTGAGACAACATAGACGTAGTAAATATATAATAGCTGAGCCCACATGAACACAGTTTAATGGTGTTCTTACCTGTAAGAGAAGGAAGCCTCCACCAATAGCAGTCGCTGCTATCTTCCCAACTCGCTGGAAGACATAACCAGCACACCTGTATGTGTTGAGAAAAAGGGTGAATGTTTCCTTGAATAACGAAAGCAAATATGTAATTAGAATGGTTAGGGTTGCACAATATATCATTTCAGCATCTACGTCATGATGTGACCATGGGCAATTGTCACGAACTCAAACACATTATGCTGTAACTTTATTTGCTGCTTGGCACAAAAAGGAAACTCACACGGTTGTCATTTGCCGTGACTAATCGACCAGAATAGTCTGTCTGAGAACATAATTTACTCTGATTCAATTGTTCGAGCATATTTTGATTTATTTACGAGACAGAGTTTGTTGACAAGCCAGTGCGACATGTGCAAAACAAAATGAGTGAGAAATAGGAGGGAAGCACCAAAAGGAAAGATTTGGTTGCAAAAAGAAACACAACATCTACTGTATAGTACTATTTCGGTCACAGACAGGATGAACAGGCACTCTGTCTTCCGATTGTTGCCACTATGTGAGGCGACACAGCTATTTTGTTTTATTATTAAAATCAGCATCACAGAATCTGTATGACGAGTGGAACCTTAATGTTTCTGTCAGAGTAACACCATATGAAAAAGGTTCCAAATCCGTTGTTTCAGCTTTTGTTAAAATTAAATTATGCAGGTGCACCCCCTACAAAATCACTGCAATCACTCTAAACATATACATCTTTCTTAATTTGAGTTATTTGAGCTCTCTGGTGAATACTGTTGTTATTCTTTTTCATTTTGCATTAGATATTGCACTAAACTACATGGTGCAATGTCAGTTTTTTCAAATATTCTGCAGCTTTACATCACATACACTTTGCTGTGGCATTGTCAGCCCTACCAGCACTTTGTTCTACTGTTAATTGTTATATTTTAAATTGATCTCTCCTTGTCAACAAGGCAAAGCATGTTACAGATGATCCACATGTATCACAGTTGTCATACCAGTCCTTACCATCCAGTCACCCCTCCCATCATGAGCTGAGTAGCCACAGAATACTTCTCAGCAATGGGGCCGGAGTTGTTCCCAAACACTCTGCTCCACCACTGGTGCCTTCGGGCATATTCTGTCAGGTCCACAACCTCATAAACCTCATCTTCACTCTCCGGGTCGTCCTGACCAGCTATGAGACGAGAATAACACATTAATTAGCTGTCACAGCCACCGGGGGCTGTCTATTCTATGTAAATGAGTAGGGAAGCTAATATTAGCGGGCTAGCGTCAAATGGCTCCAATTTCTATATCGTGCACACGAAAACACCATTTTCAGAGCGCTGTACGCATCGACATGAAGACCACAACCTAATTCCACTGTCGCTTGTGGGAAAGTATGCAAATTAAAATATTAATTAGGGTAATAACACCGGTATTTCTAACAAACAAACCTACTAACCTTCCCTCTGTTCCGCCGTCGCCATTTTGGAGAAACCAGTTATGTCACCAGGATGTTGACAATACTAAGCCACGCCCACACTGTGATGCTCTGCCACGTCAGTTCAAATGCTTTCATTTCAATTGATTGGGCTCAGCAATTTAGCAACTTTATCACCAAAATTATGCAACTTTCTCCTCCTGTGGGGAAGATGTCTGAGAATTAGGATGGGACTCGGGAGTAGAGGTTGCATGGCGGGAAAGACTCGTGAGGAATGATGCATTGCAGTTGCCGTTTAAACCAATACTGGGAGAAAACGAGAACTGACATGCAAGTGTCAGTATATGTTGCTGAATACAAGTTAATATAGAAATGGTAATTCATGCATTCATGAGGAAAACAAGGCGCATTTTAGTGCACATTAAAGAAATGTTCAGAGGATTTAAAAAAAATGCTTTTAGGGTAGTCGTGGTGTAAAAGATGAGTGGTTTGCAGGGAGAATATGAATATTTAAGATAAAAGAATGATATCGCAGGGAGGTCATATGGGGGGATGCGGACGCTCCTATTGGCTGAAGAGGGAGGAGAGGGCGTGGCTAGAGCGGCGCGTGGGTTCGCTTGGGTGACACAATTATAACAACTTTATCTTCGCGGCCGAAACGCATTTTATTGTCAAATACTCACATCTTGGATATTGTACTCAGTTATTCGCATTCAAATAGCGGCACAATATCACTTTGTGATGAAAAATGTGACGTTTGAGGAGCTACCCGGAGAGCGCTTCTGTCCCCCCCGAAAGGATTTACTATATCGAATCGCATCTTTTCATCCTGGGAAAAAGTTTTTGATCATTTTGTTTCCTTCAGTTTTCCTTCTTTGATTCGGCGGAGCAAACCGTTCGTCCCCGCGTCGCGATTTTCCATGCAATCGTGCGGTGTGTCGCTCGCCGTTGCTGCCTGCGCTGCTGCTCGGAGTCTCGGCTCGGCTTCTTCTAGTGGTGATGAGGGAAAGAAAATGGCGGCGGGAAAAGCGAGTGAAACAGAGGAGGACTTTCCGACACTGACAGCCCAGGAGAGGGACAGTTTGGTCGGGATCGACAGGTCGGAATAGCAACCCCATGCACTCACATACACGCACAGTTTGAAAATTAATTGTTTTCTCTCCTTGCATGTCGTAAATGTCCCCGAGCCGCTCTGCAAGTGATACTGAGCCGCCTATGTTGTCTTCTTGCTTGCAGCTCACTGTTTGGATTTCAGAAGCTTCATGAAGATGGCGCCAGAACGAAGGCCCTGTTGATGAAGGTAGCGAATATAACTGGATGTATTTTACAATCAAGCAGCGCCCCGCTTCACGGGACTCACTCCTGCCTATCAACTATCGTGCACGGCGGTGAATTTGCTCCCCAAGTAGCAAGCCAGTCTGAATGCAAGTGGCCCACTTGCTACGGAGACCAAGGCCAGCTAGCCGCAGCCCCTCTTTTAGCCACTCAGCTAGCTCGCTAGTTAGCTCCTCTCATCCGATGAACGGCGACCCTGCACCTGCGGCTAACTGTTATGTTGTGTCGCTGGCCCGTGTAGCCACCAAACTGTGGCTCTCTTGATTTTATTAGTCTTTTAACGTGATCGTATGTTAATGTTTGTCAGGCAACCGCCCTTCCCTGTTAGCTGGGTAGCTATTCCATACAGCGTATCCTTGTGTAGTTGCAATTGTACCACCACCACCAACAACACAACGTCGTCACGGTTTTGTGTAGCTGGGATCGTTGCACTTTAACGACTAAAGTTTCATGTGAGATTGTGTAATTGCAAGCGTTAGCATGTCCCATCTAACCTCATGTATCCCTATGTGGCTGATACAACGTTGGTGGGAGTAACGTAGCTTTCTTCAAGGTGCACACACATTGACGTTATTTGCTACGGTTAGCTAGTGCCCGTAGCGTTTGCATTCATTTCATCATTGACACACGCTGTCGGGTTGTTTCGTGGCATTGCAGCGCTCCGTTTAGCGCACTTCTGGACGTGTTTTGCTCGTTTTTATTTTGGGGGAGTCCGTGTGAACGAGTTGACAAACGTTACAAGTAACGTTAATGGCTGGCTGCCTGTCCAAGATGGCGGGACATGGCGGAGTGACACCGATAGCTATATAACCAATTTGATGTGCACATATTTCTCCCGAATCGTCCGTGTTTGGTTAAAGTGTGCCTCAAGTTTCCTCTCGGTTCTCGGCTCATTGTAAAGATGTGTCCCTGCTGCTGACCTAGGTGGTGTCAGGGTCCTTTGTTTACAGTTTCATCGCCTCTGTTTAGCTCTGCATGTGCTCTCGGAGCAGAAAGCTTGGCGTTAAACAGCCGCTGCCTACCTGTGCGCTACACATGGCTGAGCTAACAATGAGCAAATCCCCCTCTCTTGTGAGTGATGTGGGGAAGATGGTGCTATTGACAGCTCATGGTTTGAGGGCCCATCCATGAATCCGCTCGCTAGGTGGTGTGGGATACCTAGGAAGTGTAACTACTCCTCTAGCTTTTAGCTGCACACAAGCAGAAAGCCACTAAGTGCACCACACTTGCAAGAAAATGTGGGCAATTAATGTGTTGGGCTTGGATCACAATGCAATAGCTCAGTGTGTGCTACTCTCCTCCCTTGTAGATTTTCAAACAGATGCATTGGTTTTGATGTGTTATACATGCTTTGTTTGCTAGTAAAAACCTACCCTACTGCCATCTTGAAACAGCCCACCATGCCTGCTTTGGGTAATGTTTTCTCACGCATCATGTGCAGCTGCTTCGGTGTCAGTGGTCACACAGATTATTTTGTGCCTTATACACTCTAAATGTGTTGCTGATAATAATGGTTGGCAGTGCCGTTTGACAGTGTCATAAGCCGGGTCTTGCTCCATACGCAGCATCTGTCGCCAGGCTTTCCTGTTACAACCCTGCTCTCTATACACAGCACATGCACACACGGCTCCTGTAGGCCCTCCGGCTAACTCGCAGTTGTGTTCACGTGAAGTGTGTTGCTGTCTGACCGCGAGAGATCTGATTAAATAACACTTAATATACGCTGGATGGGATGCTGGAAGTAGGTGCAGCATGTGGCTGCCTGGGTGTTAGCAACCAGGCGCACTTATATCTGCTCACCCCACCCATGTAGATGTAAGATTTGAAAGCACTGGACTTGATATAATACATTTATAACAATCGGCAATCTCAAGGCGTTGTATTTATTAACCAGTCCTAGTGAGTGAAATTTGCACGGGACTGATACTGATCTAAGTAAACATAGAAGATATTGGAGAAATGTTCTACAGTTGCTATTTTATATGTGCAATTTGACATTCCTCTGTCGTCTGTTTAATTAAAATGTGCACAAGATGTAATTTATTGTTGGAAAAATGAATACTTTTCAGCTTCCATTCGGTAGGAAATAGAGATTTTACATTGAAAAAGAAACATAAACATGCAAATACTCAGACTTTTGATATTCATTGAGGAATATGAATGTTTATTGTAGACCATCAAGTGGTACAAGCACAGTAGTATGTATGGAAATTCTATTAATGCATAGCTTTTGCTCTCCCCAGAGGAAAAGAAAGCATTAGATCTGTCGCACGTTGAATCCTAATAGCGCTCTTGTGCTCTCACCTGAACACGGCTCATGAAAACAAAATGGAAAATGAACCACAACGTGGCCTCACAAGCCATTAACTGTCAGCGAGACGCTGTTGTATTTGAGCCTGCTGAGAATTATGTAAAACACTCAATTCACTCGAACTCTTCTGCTCACATTTTTCACTTAGAAACTTTGTTTTATGCTTCCATTTCCACCCGCAGCTTATTAGTTTTGAGTGATAACCCTGTTTGGCACTTTGTAATAGCCATGTCGCCGCTCTGTTGCTCTTTCTACTTGCAGATAAGAGTGGGTTCAACGTTGCTGACAGAACTGGGTCACTGTATCACCAACAGTTACTAGGTGGTAATGATGTATAATAACTAAACGGAAGAGGCTTTCAACTTATTTTTATTTCTTAAGTGTGACAACATTTGTGCTGTTACTTCAGTGTGACGTTGTAGGCAGCAAGTGCGTTTGTCTTCACCATGTTGCCTTTCTAGGTGGAGTTTGCGTGTTCTTCCCATGTTTGCAAGGGGTTTCCTCCAGATCAGGCAGGCCACACCGACATGCATGCCAGGCAGTAGCGGTGCTCTTGCATTGCCCTTGACTAAGGCACTGGCTGGGCACTGTGGCTGACCTCTTCTCCGGAACAGTGAGGTCATTTGCAGAGGACGTGCTTTTCCCACAGGGATTATCTTAAATAATATTAGTTGCCTACAGATACTTAACAACATTTAGACTTATTAGCATGCACAGAAGTGTTGTGACACATTTTAAAATCTGTGCATTTCATTCACTTGGGTCGTGTTACAAAGGTAACATGAACCTGAAAATACAGTTTCACTTCATTTTACACTGGAATCTCACTAGTCCATGACAGCTGGCAAGATCGGTATCAGGGTAGTGAGGCGATGAGTGATGGTCTGTTTTGTTGCATTTCTTCTGAGTGAGTTCAAATGTGTGTTCATCATGGCTGCAAACTAGTTGATCTGGTGGTGAAGTGTATGTCGAGAACACAGAACTCCTACCCTTGAACTTGACTCACTGACTTGAGCAGTGTTTTGCGTGTCTGTCTTGTGTTTGCAATCGACTGTCTGCGGATCAATAGTTGAAGGTGTGTCACCACGTAAGGATTTTTTTTTTTGGCTAATCTGGTGAATTTAAAAAAAGTAAAGCTTCTATTGCAAGTATGCAAAACTTTGACAATGAAAACAGTTGTTGCAATATTGTTGACAATGACTTCATGCATTCATTCATTCATATTCATGGGATACTGAGGTAAACAATATGGCAAATTCTGACAGTTGAGATCCTACCTGTAGCTCAGTGTGCAGTAATAGTAATTAGCACCATTATCAGATTCTTATGTAACACCGCCTAACTATCCTATCACTGTTTGACCTAGTTCTCAGCTCATATTAGAAAGTGTAATTGCTCATAATGACAATTGCTGTCAATGTTTACCTAATTTGTTTTCGTCTGTGCAGGTTTTCTTTTAGATCTCGCTTCAGAACGTCTGTGACACAACGATGGCTCAGCATTTCTTTCAAGCTAGTGTAAATCAGCACAGTTAGTCAAGATAAAAGAATATTGACTGCAGTGTTTTGAGTTTTAGGCGGGATGAGAATGCAGTTTTTCCTGTGTCGAGAAATTTTTGGCACCTCCTTGAAAGGTTTTAGCCAGCGCCAACAATGATAAGAATTGAGAATATATATTTAATTAGTTTTGTTCATTAGGGTTTTACATAACAGACACATTTGGTTAGAAATAAAGAAATAGGATCGTTTTCAGTCAAATAAGGTAACGCAGAGATGCACAGTCACTCCTCAGATGCCCACTCTGAGCCAGGAAGGCTTCGGCACGCTTAATAAAATAATGCTGCCATGTCGTTACTAATCCAGATATTGTCATAGCAAACATCTTTTTTTTTTTATTTTGGAATCTGTATCGCTCAGCTGTGAGACACCCTTTAAGGCCATTTACATTATACTAAAATCCCAAGTGATCTTCTGCAGTATCACTAAGCCTGGCATTGCTTTGATGACTGCAGGATTAACTGAATGTCGCTCAGTTGTTTGAGATCGAGCTGTGACTCAGTGAACCTGAAGTTTTCTTTTTGCGAGAATTTGCATTGGTTTATGCATGAATGCATACTTAAGACAGGTGAGTCAGGGATTGACACCTGGTAGTTTAAATGTTATCTTATGCACATCAGCGTAATTACCAATAAACAGTCAAACTTTGGTTGTCAATCGCCTGCCTCTCCCTTCGTTCAGTTAATCAACTATTCTCTTGGGGCTAGTTTGTGCATTAAAATAAGCCTGAGCAAAATGTGTCACTACCAAGGTTGGGAAGTGTTACAGTGCTGTCAGATCACATTAGAATGCACACATAAATATGCATACATTTCCATATTTTGTGGCTGCATTAACTTGTAGGTTGCGTCTTGACCTGAGCTTTAGAGGTAATGTTATGTTAAATTATGATGGATTTTCTTTTCATTAAAATCAAATGGAGGGTAGACTAAATTGGCAATCAGTAAATAAAGGCTATAACTAACAATCTTGTTCATTGTTGATAAGCAAATGAGTTGCTATAAAATGTTTGATACTGGGTAAAAATCTCAACCAAAATCAAACATCATGTCCTCAAATGACTCATATCATAGATGAGTGTCAGACAGGGTTAAAGAAACCAGAAAATGTTCATATTTAAGAAGCTTAAATTGCTAAAACTGATTGATTATCAAAATGGCTGATGATTAAATTAATAAACGACAACTAATTGATTTAATCAGCTCAGCTCTAATGGTAATAAGTGGCTAAAACAGATTAGCTTCGACGTCTGAGTTGACATCCAAATGTTCAAATCTTTCAGGCCAGGCTTTGAAATCTATAGACATGCAACATTATATTATAAAATAAACCGAGATCTCCGTAACAGCTGGCGTGCATCTCCTCCAACATAAAGCCACTGGGCTATGGCTGTTGCGATGATGATGACATGTGGTTAATGCAAGTACCCTAATTAGTCAGCTCGAGATGCTCGCGTTTTCTCTTACAGGAATAATTTGGTGAAAAGCCGTCATTAGATCGGTAGGCGTTGAAGAGGGTGAAGCAAGGCTCACTATTCTGCTGGTTTTCACTGACAAAACCCTCCGCTGCAGACGCTCATGCTCAGCTCGACTGGCGACACAGTGAATGAAAGATGCGATAAGAAGTTGTTGCAGTCACGAGACATCTCCCATTCTCTTTCATACGTAGGGCCAGATAAGACCGCTTTATGTGCATTTGGAAAGTGCAAAATGGAAGTTGCGTTTGTTGTTTTGTTTCTGCATAATTGTGTAATAACGTGAGATTGTGTATGTGGAATGAGTTTTTAATTTGCGTCCTGCAGTGAACCGTCAGAGTATTAAATGTTTGAGAAGAAAGACCTCGGGTTGAACTTGCGAGGAAGACTTTCACCGTAGAATCGCTCAGACAAAGCCACGTTTCAGCAGTGTAAACACGCTTTAGTCTTCTTGTCACACATCTGTCCTCTGCCATTCCATCACTCGCTGGGATTTGCTCGGTTTGTTTCCTCCCCCTCCTCCCGGTGATATTTGCAGCTACATCCACCGCTTCGGTCTTTTCACGATGCTGATAACCATGTAAAATAAATGTATTTGATTACGTAACTGCTTCTTGGAAATGGCAATGCTGCCCACCAAAGGCAAACGGCGAGCCTCGTCCGTGCTTGTTTGAAGGTTATTGCTCGGTTTTAAAAGTCATCGATGAAGTCGACTCTGCTTAAAAACAGAGAGATGAAATATTATCCGCCTCTGTATAGTCGTAGCTCGGTTTCACTTGCGGCTGCCTGTCGTCGGCTTTTTTGGCAGAATGGCAGTCGGCATTAGGGACCAGCTGTGCTGTCTTTGAGGTCTCAGCGTGGCACCTGAGAAACTTGAGTGCTCGCCGGGTCACTTCTGTGTTAAGTTTGCCCTGGTGCAGCCGGGAAGGGGCATGGACAGGAAGTGCTCGATGACTTTACTTCAGAATTAACCCCTCATTTAACAGGATAACTGGAGAGTTTATATCAACAAGCAGCCTGTTTTTGAACTTATGTCAGTGCAAAGTCAAATGATTCTTTAACCTGAGACATAGATAGTGTGAATTATAAAGGAGAGAACTGGCAAATAGAGAGTTGCATCTCATTTACACCTAAAATTCTCCAATAACTTGCAAGTCCAGCAGCCACAACGCAAAACATTCACATCATATCTCTGTTATTGTGCACAGGGTTGGCATTATTCTGGAGTTGTGTTGTGTTTTTGAATAATTAAAAGTATTAGCATTTGGGAGTGACAAACTACGTATCTCACAACAGAATGAACAAAGTCACTCTCTTGCTCTGTCCAGATGAATGGCATTACTGTGAATGTGGACGAATGCACCAGGAATGTTTGTAAAAATGTGTTTTTTAGAAAACACCCGATACAGCCCCCTAACATCATAGCTCTTCCGGCTCAGAGGAATCAGCTGCTTTTGTATTTACGGTTTATCAGAACACAACGGTCTGTAATAGATTTTTTTTCTGAAACATCATAAAAGCAAAAGTCCTTATCGACTGCAAACCTAATTCCTGGCGCGATATTCATCTGCTGAAAAAGAATTTGAGTCAGCTCGGCCAGAATTTGGGAGCTGATGTCAGCCATGCTGTGACTTTGAAAAGTTCTGTGTGACATTGCTCTCTGATTTTCACTCTTTGCAGAACACAGACATGGATGATTGCGCTCCTTTTTTTTTTTTTTTTTCTTCCTCCCACCCCACCCCAGCCTCTCTCAAGTGCTGTGTCCAAATGCATCTGTGACACACACACACACTAAGTTGTTATTTTTGTGTTCTCCCCAGGCTGTTCGCTGCTACGATTCGCTCATCCTTAAGGCCGAGGGCAAAGTGGAGCCTGAGTTATTCTGCCAGCTAGGCCACTTCAACCTCCTCCTGGAGGATTATCCGAAAGGTGAGTCATCAATTCTCTATACCTGCTCGTGGCTCGTACAGTCAACCTGTCTTCACGTTTTTTATTCAGAGATGCTTGGTAAATGACTTTCTCTAATCTCTTATCTTTTTGTTTTCATTAATTATACCATTGAGTGGCTTCTGCAGACTTCAAACAGCTTGCTACTCGTGATCTTTTTATTTCATTGAGTTAACTCTCTGCTTGCGTCACCTTCTAATTTCAGCATTATCAGCATACCAGAGGTACTACAGTTTACAGTCAGACTACTGGAAGGTAAGACACACATGCCAACATGCTCACATTGTCATCCAGTTAGCGATACTCTCACCTTGTGTCACCGGTGCACACACATCGACTTGCTTTCCCGTCCCACACGTACACGTGCTCCTGCACAGGAAGCTCGTATGGTCTCAGCTGGGTTAGATGCCAGCGTAAGATGCGGTTTCAGGTTTCATGTCAGAGTCATTCTGAGCTCGTTACGCGTTGAGGTGACACTTTGCGGTCAGACTGAACGCGAGTTATTGGTTTCCCTAATTATTCAACTGAACCAAATAGCCGCAAGGTTTCATAATCAACAGGCTAGGTGTTAACCGCTGGGAATTTTTTGATTTTCTTTTCAATTAAATGAAACAGAACTGAGCAACAAAGTTGTTTCGCTGCACATCAGCAACACCTGTCTGAGTGGGATTTGATTACCTTTTTGAAGAAGTTTAGAGAATTTAGTTATTTTTTTTGTCTGTGTTTGAACATTGTGGATCTTTATAAATCTGTTTATTTCTCCATCCCACCCAGAATGCTGCCTTTCTGTATGGCCTCGGAATGGTCTACTTCCACTATAATGCCTTTCAGTGGTGAGTACCGACTTTCTAAATGTTCATTTGTATAAGAAGGGAGCGCCCGAGTGAGTCCGTTTAAATCAATTGTGGGCAGTTATTTATTGATGCATTGTGTGTGTTTCTTATTCCATATTAGTACAAATCAGCCTTTATTTTATTTGAGCTAATAGAGTCAGATGAGACCATCAAAGCCATTCTCAAGTCTTTATGTTCCGCTAAACTACTCTCAGACTTGCTCTCCTTTCCAATAATCTGTCGGCTTCACGTCTGACTGAGCGCTTTGATCACTCTTCTGTATAAGTTGCAGCCGCAGACCTTATAACATTTGCGTTTCAACACGGGACAAGTGTGAAGTACACGCAGTCCAGTTTAACAGATCGTCACGCACAGGATTAGAACGTACTGACCCAGAGGGCGGCACGACCGTTTAGGAAGTGATGCCGCAAAAGCTGCAGCGTAATCCCAGCAGCGTGCGCGTATTGTGTTTCTCTCTATCACTCACATGTGTATGACTGAATGAAACTGTGAGGAAGATTACCATAACAGTGGCATCGCTTTAATGAAACCAGCAATATTACGCAACCCGTATCGAAAAAGGGCATTAGCATAGCTTAGCATAAAGTCTGGAAAACAACATCTAAGAAAACTGACCTCCAAAGCTCACTAATTAACACCTTACATCTCATTTGTTTAACCTATTTACCATTGCTTCATGGCTGCGAGCAGTTGCCAGGCAACCAGCGACAAATTATGCTGGCAGATTACCTCTCGTAAAAAAAAAACAAAACATGGGCCGCGTCCAAAATCCCATACTATGCACTACACATTCAACGTTTGTACTATAGCCGCACATACTTCGGTGTCTGTTCAGACACACTGCTGGGAGTAATCACATCATTTCCTGAACACCTCACTGCCAGTTGGAGGCGCGTTGCCGTGGTAACCCACCAACCTCATTCCCCGTTCCTGTACCGGCATCTGCTTGCCTCACATCAGACAGAATTGTCAACTCATTACACGCCGAAATCTAAGACTTAGATTTAGATCGAAGAGGAAAAGACATTCAAGCTGAGCCATGTGCATCACTACTGCATGGCATTGTGGGATATTTAGGCCAGCTAAAGTGTGTTTGTGCACTTTGCATGCTATTATATGGTTTTGGACATACTAAATAACCTCACGTTCTCTTTTAGTTGACTACATATCATTCAGTATGGCATTTCAGCATCGCTTTGTTTCTTGTAAAGGCAAAAGCAGCTGCACAATAATCGTACCATCAACAAGTTTGTGCTGTGCAAAGATAAAATAGGTCGAAAATAAAACAAAATCCCATTTCCTCCTGGATTCAGACCATCCTGTTGTTAATGCCACACATACCTTGCACGGTTCAGAAATGGCAAAACAAATCACTCGCTCTCCTGTGCGTTTTATTGCGACAATAAAGCACTCCCATTTGTCATGTGCACAGGTTGAACACGTTGTCGCCGTGGAACGACAGGTCCATTCACGAGAGATTGCGTATCAAAGAGAAGCCTGCAAACGCAAGACTAGGATTGCACGGCTCAGTTGTAGTTTGTGTATGTTTATATGTGTGCGTGTTATTATCAGCTGGGAGGAGAAAAAAATGCCTTTGAAGGGAAGCTGTCTGATGTTGTTTCCATAGTAACGCCACAACCGGAGTCAGTTCTGGGTGAATTACCAATAAGAATCAGGCGGCTTTAAACCTCTGCATGCATAAAAAGACCCGAGATGCAAGATCAGCAAATACAGCCGTTGTTTCTCAGCAGTGGCTTCAGGCGCATTCCACTCAGATATTATTGTTTAAATTCTCACATAAGTGCCGCAGCCAATAGCACGCACAGCGCTTCAGCATTTCAGCCACCACTATAAATCATTAAAGCTTGCATAGGTAAACTTTTAACTGTGCCATTACTTCTGATCGTGAAGGAAACACAGCAAAACAACCAACAGGGTATTTTCTGAGTCACTGTGGCAGGAACATCTTTAGTATTCAGTTCAAGATAGCGCTCACGCAGCGTGACTGGAATGAGCAGCGACTGTCTGACCAACCAAGATGTGCTGCAGCTTGGGTTGTGTTCACACCTGAAGTTTGTCTGTGAATGTAGAGCTACTTTTTGTCCCCCCCGGCCTCCCCTTTTTTTTTCATAATTATGTTTCATTCACAGGGCGATCAAAGCATTCCAGGAGGTGCTGTACATTGACCCAGGGTTCTCCCGGGCCAAGGAGATCCACCTACGCCTGGGTCTCATGTTCAAGGTCAACACAGACTACGAGTCAAGCCTAAAGGTACGTCCGAACCGAAGCTGTTTAATGCACATTTCAGGATTAGAGTCTCGCCTTCAGTCTGAAACCTGGTAATGAAACACACAAAGGAAGGGTTGAATTATCATCGATGGCAGTTTAAGCCATCAGCCACTAAAACAGCAGGACGCCCATTCAGTGATTGCACTGTATTGTGTGTGTGAGAAGATTAATGTGTAAATTCAATTAACCATGAGAAAATGTTTTGTTCTGTTTGTTTTAACTGATTTCTGATGTTCTCTCTCAGCATTTTCAGCTGGCTTTGATTGACTCCAATCCCTGCACTTTGTCCAAAGCTGAAAGTAAGCAGCACTTTTTTATTTATTCTACATGATACTCTATATTGAATTATCCTTTTTATATACTACTACTGTCAAATAGTGTGTTTCCATCTTTACTGTTTACTGTGGCGGCTGTTCTAAGACTACACACTCGCATCACCTTGATCATGAAATGGAAAAATCCCCTGCATCTCCTCTGCCTGCACAGAAACGAGAACAAAAGCAGCGTCTTATTGTGTTTGCCGTCTACTGTAGAGAGTATTAGATTGTGGTCAGCTGCTTCGCCTCGGTCTAGGTAGACTGCTGGTATTATTTGATATGCTGCTGCCATCTCATCTCTCCCGCCCCGGTACCTGTTACCTTGGCGACAGCAATATCCATTTTTGCCCAGCCTCTCGCTGTTTGCCTTTGCCTCATTGTGTCCCCCTCATTCCTGTTCTCACTCACACACATACGTAGCAAGGGCAGCCCCCATCTTTCTTCCCTCTCTCTGTCTCTCTCTCTCTCTCTCTCTCTCTCTCCCTCCTCTCTCTTCCTCTCTCTCTCTCTCCCTCTCCCTCTCTCTCTCTCTCCCTCCATCTGCTGAGAGTCACTCAGGCAGCTTAGATCAGACACTGCAGCGCTCCAGACAAAGGAAGGTGCCGCCAGGAGCACAGCTACCTATTAGGTCTGGTACTCTTAATGTAGAAAGGCAACCTTGGGTTTCTGACACCTATTTACTGACAACTCAGCACTACTTTCCAAAGACTTGGAAAGACAATGAGGAGGACTAACTCTGAGATGGGGTGGGAAACCTTTCTTAAATGTTAAATAACCTCTAACACCTTTTTTTCTCTTCTCTCCTTTCACAGTTCAGTTCCACATTGCTCATTTGTATGAGATTCAGGTAAGTGCTCGCTCCTTCTCTATAACCTGTGCTTTCAGTTCTGCTTGCTCCCAAGGGCACAAGACTAGATTTGTTTTCCTTCTGTCTTTTGTGAGAATAAGTGCTGCATGCTGATTGAATGTGAAATAGCGAGGCAGAAGCTCGTAAGCCAGTTAGAAGTGTAAAATCACAAGGCGTCTCAATGCCGGGGATAGCCCTGTTTCTTTTCTCTTCTTTTTTTTTTTTTGTATTTTGAACTAGGTGCTGACAAATTTAGGAGGGAGCAGGGTGCGTGAGTGGGTGGCGTGCGGGAGGGGATAGGAGATTACTCTCAGTCGATCGACGGGGTTGCCACGGAAACAAGAAAGTCTGTCTCCCCCTCTTTTGTATGCTGGTGGTCTCTCTCTTTCTCTCTCTCTCTCTCTCTCTCTGTCTTTATGTGGGTTTCAGTGAAGAGGTACAGTAGCTCTCACCAGCTCGGGGAGCAGCGGCGCTTCACGACTAATTTTTTTTGTGCTGTGTCAGAACACAACGCTGCAGTGGAAGTCTCAGCCTTATAATGTTTGCCGAGATGCAAAACTGTGACTAAATTTAGACGAGCGGGGAGGGCCATCAATATGATTGCTTGGGCATTCCCATCTTGCAGCACAGTGGAATGACAGGAGATGATCTAGCTAAAGTCACGGTTTGAATTTGAATTAAATGTAACCTCTCCTCTGTCTCTTCATCACTCTCCCTGCCCACCTCTGTTCACTTCTTTGTCCTCTCCCATTACTTTCTTTTGCCTCCCTCCCTCTTCCCATAAACAGAAGAGATACCGGGCTTCCAAGGAGGCTTATGAGAGCCTTCTGCAGACGGAGGATCTTCCTGCACAGGTGAAGGCCACTACCCTGCAGCAGCTAGGTAAGACTTGCCAAGAACAAACACAAGAATTTTGCGTAGGCAGTGAACAGCCATACAAAATTGATATTCTGGGGAAACTTTCTTTTTCTGTGAAACTGAGAAATCTCAACTCGGTTTCTCTCCTGTCTCAGAGAAAGTGTTGGAGCTGCATCCTTATGAGAGATGAAAGTTTTAAATGCAAAACAGCCACTGATGAGCTGAACTTTATTTGCAGGCTGGATGCATCACACAGTGGAACAGCTCGGGGACAGAGCCAGCAGGGACAGCTATGCCATCCAGTGTCTGCAGAAGTCTCTGGAGGCTGACCCCAACTCTGGACAGTCCTGGTACTTCCTTGGCAGGTATGTTGCTCACATAGGCGCACAATCGGATGCTGATTTAGTCAATATCATAAAAAGTCCTCTCTGGCTCAGTTGTAGCACTTAAGGAAATAATCAGATATATAGCCTTGAATGTTTTGGTCAAGTAAAGAGGGATGTATTTTTAGAATGAATAATGAATCCATGCATCCATAAATGCAGTATTTTGTTTGTTTTCCATATCTGTTGCACAAACCTGACCAGCTTGTTTCTCCTCCAGGTGCTACTCAAGTATTGGGAAGGTCCAGGACGCGTTCATCTCCTATCGGCAATCCATAGACAAATCAGAGGCCAGTGCGGATACCTGGTGCTCTATAGGGTAAGAGTTCATCGAGTGTGTCATCAATGAAAGTTCCTTTTTTTTGTTGCATCCTTTCTTCTCACTCTATTCATTTGTTTTGTCTGCTACCCTGCCTTTCTCTCATGCATCCCTTCCCATCGTCAGGGTGTTGTACCAGCAGCAGAACCAGCCCATGGACGCTCTGCAGGCCTACATCTGCGCCGTGCAGCTGGACCACAGCCACGCCGCCGCCTGGATGGATCTGGGCACGCTGTACGAGTCGTGCAACCAGCCGCACGATGCCATCAAGTGCTACATCAACGCCACACGCAGCAAGGGCTGCACCAACACCACCGCGCTAACCCACCGCATCAAATGCCTGCAGGTGGGTGGAGAGGGGCGGGAGGCGCCCGTACTGTGGCTGTTTGGATGGCTTGAGTTGGATTGGAAAAAAAGCAAAACGTAGCAACATACGGAAGTTCAGATTCAGTGTCTTCCAGCCACGGTAGTAGGGATGTCCCCATGATGGTTATTTTTTCCCCAGTTAGGCAGTTTACATGTTTGACTTCGCTACAGGCCTTCTTAAATTTTTATAGTGTCCCGTCTTATTTTGTTTACAAGTGCGGGAGAGGAGAACATCTGTGAATCTCAATGCTGCTCCACTCCAAACACTTTCTGATGCACACTGTCATCTCATTTATTGAAAACGCAGCCTGCCGTTTTTTCATTATGTGCTCTGTGGTTTTTGCTCGACTGGGCTTATTTGACAGCTGGCATACCCGCACAACATTTCCGTACATAGCAAACACAGATCCATCAACATCACTTGTATTAGTTGGGGACATCCCTGATAGAAACTGCTGGCTGGCCGTTTATTTGCTCTGACTTCAAACAGTCTCCCCCCAAAAGCTGTTTGGTGTGTGGATTGTGGGCAGAGAACAATGCAGTGAGCGCCACAGAATGCAGGCAAAGAATAAAAAAACATGAACAGAACTCTGCCACTGACCAATCACTGAATTGCCTTGATGCAGCGTAATGATGCAACAGAGTTTGACCAGTGCAGGCTGACAGTCGGCTCCTTCAGCATGAGCAGCCTCTCCCTTTTTTCTGAACCTTCCTAAACCTAAATCTCCCTTCCACCTGCATAGAAAAAGAAAGCATGGGGTTTCTCAAGGTTTCTTCTGTACTACCATCATTGTGCTCTTCTGCCTTTTTTTTTGCTGCTCTTTAACATCCCTGTGAGGCTGTGATAAATTGGCTATTCCTCGGGGATGTAATTGGACGAGTCTGTTAGACACAAAGGAGACTTCAGAGGGCCTGAAATCCTACAGAAAAGGAGTTCAAAATGTAATCTGGTGGTGTTTTAATTCTGATAACTTTTACTCCTCCCATTCTTTTAAGATCTTACCTCATGCCTAAATGATAGGCTCGCAGGATTAGGGCCACTATAAAAACTTTTTTCCCCTCACAATTCAGAATTTATAGACATAATTCAGGATTATAGGTTTAAAGTCTGAATTATGAGAAATTGGAGGAAAACTGTTGGAATTATGAGAACAAAGGCAGACCTACGAAAAGGAGGTCATGTGAGGTTAAAGTCAGAATTATGAGCAGAAAGTCAGACATGTGTTTAATGTCTGAGTTTAAAGTGAGAATTACTAGTGTCTAGTCAGGATAATGAGTTTAAAGGCAGAAGTCAAAATTATTAGGTTTACGGTCAGACGAATGAGGTGAAAGTCAGAATTATGAGAATATAGGCATATTTATGTATTAAAGAGGGAATTATTAGAAGAATTTTAAAGACAAATATTCATTTCAAGTCAGGATAATGTATTGAAAGTCAAAATTATGACAAAGTCAGACTTTAGTAGTTGAGTTTAATGTCACGCGTATGAGGCTTAAATCAGAATTATGTAGGTTTCATTATGAGGTAAACAATTTTAAGAATACAGTCGGACTTATGAGTTTAACATCACAATGATGAAAATAAAGGCAGAATTATGAGTTCAAGGAGTGGATTATGAGTCAGGAAAATGCTTTAAAAGTCAGGATTATGAGTTCAAAGTCAGAACTGACTTTTTAAAACTTCTTTTAACTTATGAAACAGTCAGAGCTCTTTTTTTTTTAGCAGTGACCCCAGTCCCTTTCTGTACAGTATAATAAGAGGGGAAGAGGAAGAATCAACATGGTAGCACCCTTGAGAAATAATTAATTCAGTATTATTTTTCCTCGTGACAGAGCTTATGTTGAAAGCAAATGATAGCTGAGCGGATTTGCCCTTAGCCTCCCACAGATTGACCAAACGGGGTCCGAACAACCCCCATACCTCATTAATTTATTCATCTATATTTTTGTCCAAGCGGTGTCATTTTCCTTTGCATATGCATGAAGGAATGTTACATTTCCACCAGTTATGTTAGCATAATTTCATGGCATTAAGACAAGCTCAGTGGCTTGTTTTAATGGAATTGTGACTGTGTTACTGTTGCTGAATGTCATTCAAAGTACCTCCTTGTGTGGTTGATACATAATTGTAGGTTTATTACTCAGACCATGCAGCCAAAGTAATTTAAAGACACAAGTTTGCATATCACTGTCCAACTTAGCTTCACTTGTTTTATAACCTCTACCTATTTACCATTGCTGATCATTTCCTTGTTTTGAGGTCATCGTTTTTCTTTATTTTATTTTTTTTTAAAAAAAAAAAAAAAAAAAAAAAAAAAAAAAAAAGGCTTGTGTTTTATTTTATTTTTTTTGTTTTTTCACGTCGTTTTCCATTCCCCTAGGCTCAGTTGAATAACCCCCAGCTCAGTAGCCTACAGGGTAAAAGTAAAATGCTCCCTCTTATTGAGGAGGCATGGAGTCTACCAATCCCAGCTGAGCTAACCTCCAGGCAGGGAGGCCTGAGCAGTGCACCACAGCAGGTGAGAGACCAGATAGAGCAACTTACACCTCCCCTCCCTCCCCCCCCCCTCCTCCCCTCCTTCCCTCCCTCCCCCCTTCCTTCCTCCCTTTTTCCTCTGACTTAGACACACATAGGCACTCAAACACACAATGTACACACCTGCAGGTCAACACATGCGCATGCACTGTTGTACGCACTGATGGGTAACGCTTGAGCTTCACTCCACCTTGTCTGTGTGCGTGTGTGTGAACACAGATGTCTAAAGAAGCCAACAAAAAAATACACTTCTTTGCATGAAATCTGCTAAACTCTAATTGGAGATCTTGACTTTATTGTCACTGCAATTTCTGGGCGAAAAACAAGCCACTTATCGTGCTTTGTTTATTTCAATTGGCTACTGTAATTCACTCAGGTCGTGGCTGCTTTATGGCATCCGTTTGAAATGAGGAGAGATCCAGCCAAGCGTTACCCAGTCCTGCACTCCCTTCTCTTTTCCGCAGTAGTCACTCGGCTTCACCCATCACGCTCAATTCAAGTAAAACCAGCAAAAAGGCTTTTTGTTCATTCTTTCCTGTTCAATTTCTCCTTCTTTTAATCCTGCTTTTAATCTAATGCGGTATTCAGGATTACTACCTCCCTCTCCCAACACCACCACTACCTCTCCTACAGTTCATTAACAAATCCAGTTTAAGGTGGCAAACTTGTTGAACCTGCACCACGCCGCCGTTTGCTCTCAATCTGCTTTTGTTTCGATTTTGGCAGAGGTCGTCTTTTCTGAAGCGATTAAAAGCGCTCTTAATTCGATGTCAAGTGGCTGTGTTTGTAATTCTCACACACACACACGTTTTGGCCTTTTTGGCTTTTGACCCTCCACCCCCCTTCCCCTCCAAAAAAAAGTGTGATCGGTGAGGTCGTGCTGTCGTAGAGTACACCCAGGCTTCCCATTGGCTCCGTCCGTCGTCCTCCCCCCTTCGGTGGCTGACCTTAGATGTCCTGCAGCCGCTCACAAAGCCCCAGCAATGCCCCCTAGTGTTCCATCACCACTTTCATTCAGCCCATCGTACAGTAGATGCCAGTAGTTCTGCTGTGTCCTTGTTTGTGTGTGATCATTGTTGTGTTATTGAACTGGAACATGTTGATTTGGCGGGTGAAATATGTGTGGATGAATAGATTTCAATTGGTCAGATGTGACTTTAACTCAAACAAAAATACACATACAGCTTTTTTTTTTTCATGCAACATATACAAATAGTGTTTATTTTCTACTATGTTGTGAATGCTCGAACAGGAAAAGCGCAGCAGCTGATTATTCAAGCCTCGTATTGATTTTTAAAGCAGCTACAACAAAAAACACGGCAAATTTTCTAAGCGGTCGAATCCGCCTCACAGGCTTCCTCAGAGGTAATAGTAAGGCTTGATAGCGCGTGGGATGCGTCGCAACCTTTCGCTTCAAAGGTTAAGTTATGCATTTGCGCCTTTAAACGGCTAAAATTACAGTGAATTTGGCCACGCTGACAGCATTATGTTGCCGAGACGCAGCGGTGGTGAATTTCCACCAGCGTTCCTCCACATAAGGAGGAATGCCCCGGGGGCTGCTGTTGCCCTATGATGCAACACCTTTAGATACACAGGAATGTTTTTGCTCTACATGATTTTAAAGCTCCCAACACAGAATCACAGTGTTGCTCTCCTTTTTTTTCTCTCTCTCTCTCTCTCTTTCCCATCTCCATAACCTCCACTTTGCTTTCTCCCTTTGCTGCTTTCCCTCCTGCTTCATTACTTCCTTTCCCCTTTATGCTATATTTCATTTTTCACTGCTTTTGCCTTCCGTAATTTTTTTTTTTTTTTACTTGTGTGTCCGTCCATTTGCGTCTCTCCGCTTTTCCTCTTTACATTTGTTTTGCTTCCTTTTGCCTGCGCTCCCTCCATCCCCTTCCCCTCCAGGCTTGCAAGCCCAATCACAGTGCAGAGGGCGGGGGCTCGGGTCAGTCTCTGCCCCCTCACGTGGGCTCGCTGGGCCAAACGGAGGACCAGTCCTGCCCAGCCAAGAGGAGGAGAGCCTCCAGTCCTGCCAAGGTAAACACGACAGTGACAGTATTTAACTTACAGCTTTAGCATTTCAATGCGTTCTTTATGAGACCCTTCCACCTTATCGTCATGTGCGTTTCCCCTCAGAGTGATTCATGGGCCAGTAATCCAGCACAGCAGCCAGTCCCCAACTGGTACCTACCCCCACAGAAATTACAGGTCGGTCATATTTCTTATCTCTTCTATCTTTTATCCTGTGTTGTGTAGCATCTCAACAGAGGTCACATCAGGTCTTGCCATTTGTCTCGCAGGCGCTGGAGCAGTTGCGGAGTAACCGGGCCAACCTGAAGCCCCCGCAGCTTCAGATGTTGGAGCAGCTGGAGGCTCAGCTCGCCATAATGCAGCAGCACCAGCACCAGGTATAAATACATCAGCAGATAGGCCATATTTTATGCAAAGAATCAGCAGCACAACACAAGAAAATAAACTTTTTTTAGGATTCATCTTAGCTGCATCACTACTGTTCCCAGAAAAAGGTTTTTATAGTATGTCACCAAGGTGTTTTATTCACACACAAAACAGAAAATACATTTTGCATATATAATATATAGTCACGGATGCTTGCACGAAACATCAGTTTGAATAGATCTGTCCACGCTTTGCATGCAGATACACGTTTCCACATGTACGCATGAAGATCCGCTCTTCAGTCCTTTAATAACAGACTATGGAGATTGTATGAACATGTGTACAGAGTAGTTGAAGGCTTAAACCGTAATCTTAAAGTAAATAAACTCTCTAATCCAGAGTGAGTAAACACTGTGTGATTTATGATCCTATGGTATTATTGAGACCTGATTTAGGCTACTCAAATCCCTTTCACCGTGTGTGGTGTGGCGTAGGCGTTGTATAATATTACGTGCCAAACCACAAGCGAGTGCAGGTAAGAATGTGGATGTCAACATGTGTTTTTTTTTTTCTGACTGACTCAGAGTCGTCTTTCAGCGGTTCAGCTCGCCCATCTGGTTCTAAGACCGGATTCGAATAAACATAATAAATAACACACCGATAAGCTGTAATTACGTTTCAAACTGTTTTATGGTTGTTGTTTTTTTTCTCTGCCGCAGATGAGACAGAACGCCTCAGGAGGTCAGGTGCGCCCCTCGCTTCCCAACGGCCCCACCGCCAACTCCCTCCCCTCCCCCAACCCCAGCCTCCACCCCACGCGGCCCCACCTCGGACCCCACCGGCCCCTGTGCCCGCCCCAGCCGCTGGCCAACGGGCCCGTGGGCTCCGGGGCACACGGACACTCGGACTCTCTCCCTGTGGGTGACAGTAGTAACAGTAGTAGTAACAGTAGTAGTAATAATAAGCCAGGGCCCACGGCCACAGGACCCAACGGAGACGTGCCTTACCTGCAACCTGCCGGCAGCGGCGACGCAGCACTGCTACCTCACACCTGCACAAGCACGCAAACACAGGACGCCATGCCGCGCCAGGCCCTGCACCTAAACTCCTCTCAGGTTAGACGCTTCGTCACTCGCTGCTCGTCTTTGTTCGGTGCCTGTGACAGAACATGCAAAATTAAAACTCCCTCTGGCAAGTTCGCTGTTGCTCGGTTAAGTAATGGATATAAATCTGTTTTATCCTACTGACCTACTTGGCTCTGTTGTAAAAACTGTCAGAAACCATTGAGTAAATTCAAGTGATTTTATGAAACAAGCTGTGAAATCCCTCCCATGGGACTCCTTTAAATTAAAGTATGCATGAATTCTTCCACGCATCCCTTATCTCTGGTGCTGAGCCCAAGCATGTATAAAAGTCACATCTACAAATGGACCCACCGGTGTAGCTACGTGTCCGCGAGGCCTTGTTGTCACCTCACCAGAAAGAGTGATTTTTCAAGAGACTTAATGAGCGCTAGACTCCATCTGCACTTTCTGTTTCTAGTGTGTAACAGTTCTGTCTTTGTTTCTTCTTCAGGGGCTTCAGAAGGGGTCTGTTCCAAATGCGACAGGCTCCAGCAGTGAGGGGACCCTCTCTCACCCCCAGACCCCCAACTCCACCACCCCTGTGCACCCCAACAATCAGGTTGGACATTCCACTAATGCCCCATCGCCACGGCAGCAGCCTCATAACCACCTCCCATCCCCTCCTTCCCTCCCCCACTCCTCTACCTCAGGTGGAGCAGGACCTGGTGCGTCCGCTACCAAAGATGGCAACACCACAGCCGCTTCCCTCGGCAACGGGGGCTCCGAGGTTAAAACACCATCGCCGCTGCCGTCAGCTGATGGCAAAGCGGCGCAGGCAGATGGCCTAGCCAATCACGTCCACTCGGGGGAAGGCGGCAAGGTGGCAGAAAGTGGCGAGAAGCCGAGCCTTAGCGCAGACAATCCTAGGCTATCTGCCCTGCTGGCGGGGGGGAAGGGCCCTGAGGAGAGCGAGGGGCCGTCAGAAGGGACTGCATCCACAGCATCCGCCACGCCCGAGTCCCACAAGAAAATCAACAACATTCACCCCGCCGTCCTGCCCTCCACCCCCCACGCACAGGGCAGCTCGGCTGCCTCCTCGCCCATCTCTGCCATGTCCACCGCCACACCGTCACCCAAATCGTCAGAACACACCCAAACAGGCGCTCACAGTCCCCCTACAACCACCCCCTCCACCACCGTCACCACCACCACCACCACATCATCATCGTCTGCTGCACCCGCTGTTAACGGTAACGGCAAAGGAGGTATCTCTGAGGACTCTCAAAGCCCACTGAAGGCTGAGCCACCCACCGTCACCAGTCTCAAAGCTACGCCTCCACACGGACACGGATCCTCGTCTTCGTCGTCGTCGTCTTCAATATCCATCTACCCCAGCTCCACAGACGTGCTGAAGGCCTGCAGGTGAGACTAGAATGCCTCGTTGTTTTTCATTCACGTCTTGGAGTCCTGCAGATGCACTCAGGCGGGAACCTGCTGGCCCTGTTTAATTCCTCTTGGCAGGAATGATTGTCTTGGCAAGCAGATTGGTGTGTTGACAAAAGCACAATCACACACAGTCAGGTCACAAAGTTCATAAGCCATGCACCGAAATTTTGGCGTGTGTAAAATTCTCCACTTTCCAAACACTTAAGCAGGGCTTAAAGTCTCAGCTGAGTTGATTCTGGCCAGGACTTGTTAAACAGTGTTAATGGAACGTGAGCTTGATGAGCAGAAATGGACGGCTGCTTCAGGAGTACAACGGCTTGAAAATGTTGCACGACTGTTCTCCAAAGTGACAGCAGAGTTAAGCGCTGTATTATATTTACTGCTTGTGCAAACGCGAGAAGCAGCGTCGGTTGAAGTGTGCGGTTTGTTTTGAACATGTCTCCTCCCAGTGGAATTGCAGCGTAACTACAGAACCAGAGGCTAATAATTATGTAACTGTCAACAACACCGAAGGCTACTGGGCAGCCTTGTTGCCATGCAGATATCAGTCATCGCAGATTATTCACTAGAAACAGAAGTGAGTTCTTCCTATTTTGCTTTTGTTTGGGGGGAAATGTGGCATCGTACCCCACAAATTTATTACAGTGCATTTGATACTCCTGTGTAGGTGTCGAACTATGTTGCTTCAACTGTTCTTGTGATATGTTATCGATAAACTAGATATTGATGTTTTTAATAAAACATGCAGGCACTTAGCAGAGTCACTGCTTGATGACTGCTTGTGGTGGTGCTTATCAATAGGTGAATGGAAGTTAAGTAAACTGCGGTGAAGAAGAAGAAGAAACCGACGGGGTAATCAGAGAGCAATTAATTGAACTGACACAGTGTTATTGATAATACACATTGTGCGGTAAATGAATACACAATTCCTGCTTTCTGCCTTTTAAGGGTTATTTTTTGTCTTCAAATACACATATATTGTGATGTAGCGTAGATAATAGTACGTATGACAAGTTTGCTGCCATCTCTGTCAGCTGCGGTGTGATTCCCACCACTTCTCCTCAAAAGTCTTGCTTGCTTTAATTTATTTCCTCGTCATGGCTGCTTTGATTAACAACACTCCCTGCGTCACGTACGTGCAGAAACCTGGGGAAGAACGGTCTTTCCAACAGCAGCATCCTCCTCGATAAGTGCCCCCCGCCGCGGCTGCCCCCTCCACCCTCGCCAGCCCTGCCCAAAGACAAGCTCAACCCTCCCACGCCCAGCATCTACGTGAGTACAACCGCAGGAAAGAAAGCCGATTGAGTCGCTAAACCTATAAAAAGTGTAGGTACAGTTTCGCGCCGTGTCCTTCAACTTCCTGTTTCTTGCCTTCGGAGCAGCTGGAGAACAAGAGGGACGCTTTCTTCCCTCCACTGCACCAATTCTGCACAAACCCCTCCAACCCCGTCACAGTCATCCGAGGCCTGGCTGGAGCTCTCAAACTGGGTAAATGCTTTAATTAAATACATGCAATTTTCTTCCCTGTGTGAATCACAGTGATATCAGCGTTTGAATCGTTTCCCTCTCTGTTCTCTTGTTTCTCTTTTAGATCTGGGTCTGTTCTCCACAAAGACATTGGTAGAAGCCAACCCGGAGCACCTGGTGGAGGTCTGGACTCAGCTCTCGCAGCCCGCTGACGAGAACTGGGACCCGGCGGGTACCAAGAAAATGTGGCGCTGCGAAAGCGCTCGCGCCCACACGACCATCGCCAAATATGCCCAGTATCAGGCTGCTTCTTTCCAGGAATCGCTGCGGGTGAGTTTTTAGAGCTCTGGAACAAAACTGATGCAGAATTTATAGTTCTGAATCACTTCAGAGATTTAAGAGTGTGTAAGGATGCAGGAGAAGATTCAGCAGTGATATACTGAGGGTTTAATGTGTTGCATGGTTGGTTTTCAGGAGGAGAATGAAAAGAAGGCACTAAAGGAGCCCTCGGACACAGAGCCAGCGTCGGCAGAGAGGTACACAACGGAGTTCTTTATATGTAGTATTTTGATTTTTGATTTATTTTGTTTTTCTTAATCATTCTGTATGTGACTAATTGTACATTTTTCATCTTAAGTGCTGCACGCAAAAGAAGAGGGCCCTTGAAACACATAAAGTTTGGAACCAACATCGACGTGTCCGACGAAAGAAAGTGAGTATAGATTTCATCTCACCATCTGCCGCATCTCGAAGCTGACACCTTTTTTTTTTTTTCTTTTTTTTTTAAATGCGTGACACATTTCATTTTAAAACCTGCAATCTCATCATGCCCACTCGTCTCTCACAACGCTCTCCACCAGGTGGAAACAGCAACTCCAGGAGCTCAGCAAACTCCCGGCCTTCGCTCGAGTCGTGTCGGCCGGCAACCTGCTGAGCCACGTGGGTCACACCATCCTGGGAATGAACACAGTCCAGCTGTACATGAAGGTGCCTGGGAGCAGGATACCAGGTCGGGGCAATCAGCATCACTTTCGAAACAGTATAATTACTGCACTGTCAGTAGTGTGTCTGTGTTGGTGTGTGGAATTGTGCAGTGAAGGTTTTTTTTGTCGCTCCAGGTCACCAGGAACACAACAACTTCTGTGCCGTCAACATCAACATTGGACCAGGAGACTGTGAATGGTTTGCAGTACCAGAGCCCTACTGGGGAGTGATGAGCAACTTCTGTGAAAAGTACGATGGACTGAAATGAACCTGCACAAATGATTCCTTCACCCTCTTACTGCCTTTACATCTCAACTCTTTCCCTTCCTAACTTTCAGGAACAACATCAACTTCCTGATGGGCTCGTGGTGGCCCAACCTGGAGGACCTGTACGAGGCCGACGTGCCCGTCTATCGGTTCATCCAGCGTCCGGGCGACTTGGTGTGGCTCAACACGGGCACCGTCCACTGGGTGCAGGCTATTGGCTGGTGCAACAACATCGCCTGGAACGTAGGACCTCTCACCGGTACGTCTGGGGTTATAGGATAAGAGACACAATCAGTTTTTTCTCTTTTTGTTTAGTTTTATTTTTCCTCCTACATTTCTTTTTTCCTTTTCTTTTTTCCCATACATGCACTACTGGGAAATATGTTTATCCGCCAAATTGGACGCAAATTTGACAACCGTGTAGGATAGGAATTATGTCTGATGTGCACCTGACCTTTATCGTGATGTTTGAAATGCTTTTCCAGCTGATCATTGCCCTTTTTAACTGATTACAGCTGAATTTTCTCCCCAGATGCGTTTCAGACACATTCTTCAGTCGTCTGTATGCCTGAATACGCTTCCATATTAATAAGTGCACCTGTTTAGGCAATCTACATGATGGCTTGCATCTTTTTTTAATACTGTCAAAGGACTCGCAGCTGTTGGGCTACAGTTTAACCTTCACCTGGTTCTTTATGCGCATATACATTTTGCACAAAACGTTTTGACACTGCAGATTAAACCTTTAACTGCTTTTTTTTTTTTTTTTCCCTCCAGCCCACCAGTACAAGCTGGCTGTGGAGCGTTACGAGTGGAACAAGCTCCAGAGTGTCAAGTCTATGGTTCCCATGGTGCACCTCTCCTGGAACATGGCACGCAACATCAAAGTGTCCGACCACAAGCTGTTCGAGATGATCAAGTGAGTCACAGGATCCTTCACTTTAAGCTCTGAGCAGATTGTTTGTATTATATGTTTGGCTCTGCAACCTTCTTGCATAAGCTGGATTTTTTTTTTCTCCTTCTCAATCTGGCACTGACGGGCGTATTCTTGTCGCAGGTACTGCTTGCTGCGGACGTTGAAGCAGTGCCAGTGGGTGAAGGAAGCCTTGGCGACAGCCGGCAAGGAAACGGTGCTGAGGCCGCGGACCAGGGACGAGCCGGCCCACTACTGCACCATCTGCGAGGTCAGTGAGCACACCGGGAACATTTCAGCATCAGGGGTGTGAATTTTAACAGGATTTCACATTTCTAGCTTTGCAGCTCACACTTATTTTCAAGTGGAAAATAATTGTCTTGGCTCGTGTGCGTGTTCCTGCTCACATCCCGAATATTACTCTACGCCCTGCATGTTGGATTAGAACCAAATGTGTTTGTCCCCTGATTGTGTTTCTGCTGATCTGAATCCAGTAATTGACAACTCAGGATTCACAAAAACATCAAATTCATGCTGCAGTTCAGTACTTGTGTGTGTCTATAGCGTGAGGTAAATGTCGATGGTGAGACATTCAGGCTGTTTGGCTCCACAGCTGAGAGCTTTGACATATTAATCTAGCATTTGAGAATGGAAACCGTATAGGAGAATCAGCGCATGAGAGTAATTCATCGCGCAATTTTGCTCTCTCCATGTATTCTGTTGATTTTGGACAACAGCGCGCCACTTGAATTGAAGGCCGACTCGGTTTTTGTTTGAGTTAATTAAGGGGTATGCTAATGGGTTTATTTGAATACAGGGTTTTCAGCTGTGAGTAGAAAGGCGCCCATATCCCATTAAACCTCTGCTGTCAATTGTTTTTGCCCGTGGAGCAGCTCCAGCCTCTGTATGACGCCTTTATGCAATCTGCCCACGGAAATGACAGGGAAATTCTGCATCTGCACGGTTCCCTTTTATTTATACGTGCGTGTGTGTTTGCGGATGTGCCCTCTGCAGGTGGAGGTGTTCAACCTGCTCTTCGTGCGCCGGGAGCTGCTGTCCAAGAAGCAGTATGTGGTCCACTGCCAGGACTGCGCCCGGAAAGGCAGCGCCACGCTGGACGACTTCGTGGTGCTGGAGCAGCACAGGATGGAGGACCTGATGCAGGTCTACGACCAGTTCACATTAGTAAGTCATCGGCGCGAGGGAGGGGATGGACCTAAAGCACTCGTTTCTTGTGTGAACTGAAGAAATGAACACTTGATTTTTTTTTTTTTTTCACATAAATTGTGGAATTAATTTTACACAATTAATCATGTACTACTCGTGCTGATAACTAGCAACCAAATAAAACCCAGTGATCAAGTGATTTTTTTTTTTCTATGCTTGCACTTAATAACAGCAGGTTTTCTACCGCTGCTTTTAGCCGACCTTCCCGTTTATAACTGCACATCAAAAGTGTGTCTGATGAAAATACGTCAGCACAGACATTTTGACAAATTAGACGAAAGCTAGAGATTTATATTAAACACTTGTGAGAGTTGTTGTTATTTCCTATAATGCCAACAGAAATATTTAGGATGTTAGACACACCCACAGTACAGCTGTTGTATACTTCTGTGTGTATTAACGATGAGGGAAAATACTCCAGATTACTGCAGAGGCCTCACATTGATGAACTGAATGGCCTTGCTGACTCTCTCGTATCATCTTCCTCCTCAGGCCCCTCCTCTTCATTCATCTTCATCTTGACATTAGGTGACTCCTCTTATCTTCTTCTGCTGTGGAGCCATGACGCCCATTTACAGGAACTTGTATTAAGATTTTAAAAAGAAAAAAAGTACAAACATCTACATACACGGACCATTTCTGATATTCAGGAAAGCCAAGGCCGTCCCCCCCCCCCTCCCTCTCTCTCTCTCTCTCTCTCTCTCTCTCTCTCTCTCCCCCCCTCAACTCTCACCACCGCCCCCTCCCATATGGCTGGTCTCCATAGCGACGGCTGGAGGCTGAGGCGGCCGAGTGTGTCTGTCTATGCAACCTGTTTGAAGCGCTGGGGCCCGGGCCTTCCAGAAGGGGGCGCCAACCTAGCTCGATAACAGGACTCGTTTCTCTCTTTTCCCTTCTCCCCCTCCCAGCCCCCTCTAGAGACAATGGTTCAGCCCTGTTTTAATGGAGGACTCAATCAAATACGGTTGGGAACAGGGGGGACGAGGGGGAGGAGCGGGATTCTTAATGCGTGATTAAAAAAAATGTTTTGTAGATACTTGTTAACTGTCACAACTGGCAACACCACCCGTAAAAGACTACTGACTTGACTACCCTTCTCCCTCTCTGTCCCTTTTTTCTCGTTTTCTATTCTGGTAACAGGATGAAATGTTGACTTTGATTTCTAGAACTTCCCCCAAATTTTCTTTGTTTTTTTTTTTTTTTTCCTTCTAAGGAGCACTAGCCTAACTGGTCTTTTTCTATGGTAGATAGTAATTTTAAGACTCTTTGGACAGCAAAATCTCCAAAAAAATTTGTAATGTGAAGAATTTAGATGATTTTTCTTTCCTCCTTTTTTTTCTTTCTTTCCTTTTTTTTTTTTTTTTTTTTTTTACAGCTCTTATGTTTTATCTTCGTCTTGTTCTTTTCAAAACTGTTTTTGTTTCTTAGGTAAAAAAAAAAAAAATCTATATTAAAAATTGGAAAAAAAAAAACATACTAGCCAAGTCACAAAGAAAATGGGTTGCACATAGACTTATGGAATTAAGTTTAATTTGTGATTTTTTTGTTTCGTTATGTTTCTAATCTTGATGTAAATTTACACTATTTATAAATACATATTTATTGCTTGAAAATATTTGTTGATGGAATGCTGTTATTTTTTCCAGAGTACCTGCCATTAAATTTGAAGGAGTTTTGTCATTTTAACACAACTCCTCTTACATTTTCTATATATAAATAAAATTGCTTAGCAAGCATTGTACAGAAACGGACATTTAAAATTGTTTTATTGTTTGAAGAATGTTTTATGATGAGTCAATAAACACAAAGTTGTCAAATTATCCATGCTGTCTGCTTGCTTGAACTTACAATACGCAGTCATATTTTCTTTTTTTAAAAAAATTAAAAAAAAAAAAAAACAGTAGGTGTATCTTGAGTAAAGGCCTGAAACCCAGCAGACAATGTAGCTGTAGACTGACACACACAGAATCCTACACTGTATGCCAGGTTCAGAACCTACACCGCTTCTCAGAACATCAATTTCATTTTAATTTTCAAGAAATAAACTCCCTCTGTCCTCCAAAGTACCCATGCACCCTCGGATTAACTCCGCGGGAGGCTTTTTCTCCTCGCAGTGGGTGGGCATTTGAGACATTTCTGCTAAACTTAAAAGCTGCACGACAGAAAAGATCACAAAAAGAGAGGGTGTGAACTACACAGAGAAAACACCAGTATGAAATAATACGCTAATCCCATCAGAAACCTGTCTGAAACCATCTTCAAAGCACATCAGAAAACAGTCGCACATATGATAAGCGTACAGGGAGGATTCTGGAAAAACATGGCTGCCAGCAGAGACCCAGTAGCCAGATGTAGCTGCTGCCAGCCCCACAGGATCTACACTGACTACTGAGCAACCGCTGGGCGCCCTGTGGCTCCGACGCTCTGGTTGGAGCCAAAATGGTGGCCCAGCTGCCGAGATCCAACCAAGATAGGAAGTGATCAGGAGGAAAACAACTTCATGCTGTGGCTGATATAATTCAGGTGAGGATGTGGGTACAGTTTGTAATGAAACAACACTTTGTCACTTTCTCCTAATTACAGAATACAAAATCACTTGAAGCATAGTTTAAATTTAAACAGAAGAGTTGTGAACAATACAGCACACAGATGCCTTTTTCCCACTTGCACCTTCATCCTGATAATTTCCTGTCAGAAACGTGTGAAAAGGTTGTTTGTTGGAGTCAATTTATCATGTAAGATATTTTTACAGTGTAGCAGCTCTGTAAGGCTTATTAAAGCCTTTTCACACTTCCTGCTGCGTTTCAGGCGAGGATGCATTGTTTGGCGTTCATGTAACGCTGACAGTAGAATGCCACTTTCAATGTGAATAATTTTTTCAGATATTACCTTTTCAAGTGTCTAAATGTTCGTGTCAAATAGGGAAAAACAAGGAATTAAATCTGTGGAATTGAAGGTTTACCTGCTAAATACCTCTAGACATGTTTTAAAGAGCAGTGACAAGTAAATGTTAATAGCAAAGTGCACTAATTAAACTGTTTTGGCCATAAAATGAGATTAGCTGATATACTAACATGATAAATGCATAAAATGCTAATTGTAAAAGGAAAACATTCGTTACTTTTAGCCATGCTAGCACAAAAATCTGCACTTCCCAGAGGTAAGTCTTATGAACATCCATCCATCATCTATACACCCCTTAATCCTCACTGGGGTCACAGGGGGGCTGGAGTCTATCCCAGCTGACTCAGGGTGAAGGCAGGGGACACCCTGGACAGGTCACCAGTCTATAATAAATACTCTTTTTAGCAATTTCCCTGAGGTCTTGTACCGAAGGGATTAATAAAGTTTTATTCTAATTCTAATTCTATCACAGGGCTCCACTTAGAGACAGACAACCAAGCACACTCACATTCACACCTGTGGACAATTTAGAATCACCAATTAACCTCAACTGAACCCAGAGAGAACCCACGCTGCACGGGGAGAACATAAAAATTTCACGCAGAAAGATCCTAGTGGGTTGTGAACCGGCAACCTTCTGACTGACGGGCATCAGTTCTAACCATCAAGCCACCTTCTAGCCCTCTTACAAACATGTGATTTCATTTAGCAATCCTGCCAGTTCAGTTTGAATTTGCTCTGTACTTTAACCAACACCTGCCAGGTGTTCTTCATGTGCTAATTAGGACATGTTGGCATGTTAACAGGCTGATGTGCTTGCTGATGTTTTGTGAAATGGGGCAGTGGAAATTCATTTTCCAGTGAATTGTAAGTTCTTTTATTGTCATTTTAGTCAGGTGGAGTTTTTCTTTGTAATTTTCTAATGTCTATGGAAAATGATATTACTTTCTGTGGCCTATTTTTTTTTTAGAATGTCTTTAAACTCAATGGCACTATTTGAATACCAGATATTTGGTGCACACAACTCTTTCTATTTCTGTTTAAAGACAGCATATGATATTTGCCCTCCTGCTAAACGCTAATGTTAGCATTTAGTGTTGCTGCATCTAAAAACAGCTTCACGTAGCTGCGAGCATGGCTCTGTTAATGTGAAAAACAATGTTTTAACCTTGCAAAGAACATTTACAGTGAGGTGCATGTGGGAAAGAAGCTCAATTTCCTCCCTCATCTCTCGTTTACAGTCATTCCACTTTGAAACAAGATGGCCGACGCAGCCAGGCTGGCAGCATCCATTTTGACTGCCACAGATGGACTCTGCTGGAGGACTTTTTCATCATCTTTCCTGGAGAGTCGGTCTTCTGTTCAATGTCTGACAGGAGTCCTGCAAAAGAAAGATGCCACGGTGAGTATTTTATCAAACAAGTGGACAAAGAGGTCAGCTGACGTCTTGCATTCAAGCAAACACTGAACATTTAAACGCTTAAGTAATACATGGGTAATTGAGTGGATAAGTACTTTATGTTTTTTTTTTTCTTCTTTCTGCTGTCGTACATTGCTTTTCTGAAACATTTTGCCTCTCCACCCACTTTTGCTCGGGCGGAGGCGCACAGGAACAAAGTGTGGGCTGAGAAATCGTGATTCTAGGAAACAAAATGCCAGTTTTTATGTGAACGTCAGTTAAGAAGACGAACACTTCCTGCTGGCTGTCTGAAACGACAAAGGCAGGAAACTTGAGTTTTCTGCGATACAGTGACAACAGTGTTAAAAGGGAGGAGGGGAGGGGTGCAAGTGGCAGAATGGATGTGTAATTATTTGCAAATTATTTTTCTTTTTTACTCCCATTCGTCGTCACTTTGGGTAGTTTGGGTAAGTGCCGGCCGCCACATGGAGCTCTGTCACCACGCGAGGTGTTCAATGGGATCAAGGCCCAGAAAAGTTGGAATAACTCTCCTCTCCCTATATTCCACCTATATGCGCTGTGAAATCTGGCAGTGCTCCAGCAGAGTGGTATGTGAACTCCGTTTGGCCCGGACCACCAGCCCTCCCACCCCCCCCATCCCGCCGTCCTCGAATCGCGATCACCTAACAATGTCTCCCTGTGTCGCAGTTGGGGGGTAAAAAAAAAAAAAAAAAGGAGAGAAAGCACAAGAGAGAAGGAGTTAAACCAGCAGAGTGATCAATGCCCTCCAACCCCACCTCCCCCCTTCCTCATCCCTCTTTTTCCTTCCTCGCCGTTCCCCTCCATCCCTGCTCTGGCGTTTCCGCCTTTCTGAGAAGCAGACAGGTGGCCATGACTGCTAATTTTAACCGGGCCGATTGTCTGGCTGCGTTTCCCACAGCTATGTATAGACGCCTGCAATAAACCAAGTAGGTCAGTGTGTGAGCCTCACACTTGCGATGCACACATCCACAAACACTCGCGGTTGTGTTTCCATGGCTTCATTTCACTGACTTAAAGACCAGCGCTGCCCTCACCTAACCCTTCAAACTTCACCTTAAAATTTAGTGGCTTGTGGGGACTTCCTGTTGTTTCCCCTTGATGTGACTTTGTACACACATTTAGCAACACGAGTAACACAAGCGCACACACACATGTGCACCGGGTCCTGACCTCTAAAAATGTCCGACTTGTCCATTCATCCACTCCCACCTCTGTCGCAAATGATCCTCCCTGATTGGCTGTCGCTCTCAGCCAATGACAGAGCTCTCTGCTACCCATTCATAAAACCCAGGGTCATTGAGGATAATGTGGTATTAAGGCATGTGCAAAGAGGAGGGGGTAGGCCCACTTTTTTTTTTATCTTCAGCCACATTTAAACCACATTTTGATGTTGCAAAATTAACGTCGCTCAAATATGATTTCGAGAAAAGCAACAGTCCGATGCTTTTATGCGGTTTATTGATGATAAATTAGCGGTGTAACGTGATCCTGATCTGCAGTTGCAAATTCACATCGCAAAATCCCCTTCCTACATTCGTGCAAATTTGAGTGAAATTCAGTTTCAGCGTTCAGCCAGAGACATCACATTCCTGTGTGTTTAATAAGTAATGAACCGAGGGCCGCTCAGACTGCGATAATCTCCCCCCACCCTACTTTTTTTTTTTGTTTTCTCAGGCTATCGCTCTTTCAACCCCTCCATCCTGCTCTCAGGTTTTACTCAAAGGCACTCCATTCTTGTTTCTTCCCCCTGTAATTACCACCCCGGCTAGTTTTCTGACCCGTTTCGACGTTGCCCCCCCTTCCTGCTCCTCGTGAGTTGCACGTTTTATATATAGAAATGTGTGACTGTGTCAAAGTGATTCACTTATGTGCAGCCTAATGTGTGACATTCAGAGGCCTATAGCTGAGAGGAAGGGACTCATTCATACACTCTGAATAGATCTTTGATGAAATGTCCCCATTCAGTATACTGATGGGTTAATCAATAATAATTTGTGGTAATAATGCTGTTACATTTATTTCTTGGGGGAAAAAAATGATATGACTGTGCCCTTAAAGTCCCTTAAAACTTGGTTTCAAATCTTAAATATTCCTTACTAACAGGCAAGGGTAATTATTCATCGAGCGTTTAAGGCTAAACAAAATGAATCTGCCTCATCGGGACCGGATTGATGAGATTTGACAACAGCAACCCAACAACAGTCATTACATTTGAATAGACGTCACATTTTCACAACTTCCCATGTCGAGGCAGTGAGAAAAGGCTGGACGGAAACTCAAACACAGAAACTGCCAAATAACCAAAACTCTGGATGAAAATTGTGTTGTTATGTTCTAAACCCAGAGCTCATAATAAGCGCTGGTGAAGGAAAATAGGAGTGCGGTGCTATTAAATCTGACTTTAAAACTGATTTTTTTTTAACTGCTCTGAGAGAAATCGCAGTTTGTGTAAAGAGTAAGTGATGCAAAACTGTT